TCCCTTTATGTGTTTGCTCCCCGAACATGCCGATTCCAATTTCTGCTGGACAGCTTTCTGCATCAAGTGTGGCAACTGATGTGGAAGGACGTGGAGCGTTGGCACCTGGCTGGTAGACAACATCCTGAATGCCGAAACGCTTGACAGCATGCAAGGGGTCGTCCTTCCTGTTTTGTTGTTTGAACCATGATGGCTTTGCGAAGAAGATGATAAACTTGGAATTGGTATGCAACAGGTCCTTGTGGTCAGAGGCTCGATCAATTGCGATTGTTTCGTAGAGGAGATGGAAACCTTCTCACACCAAACTAGTATATTTAGGTATAGATATGTGCAAAACAATGATCCTCAGTTGCTCAACTTGCTTCTAGAATCCAGCAACTGAGCCGTAGCACTGGTTATAGTCTGTACAGCTCCAAGCAACACTCATGGGTTCATTGAGTGTTGCACATTGTTTCGAGTTGCTCCTAGTTCCAGTCACGCAGAGCCGATATGTGAAGCATAATTAGCATACTCATATTCTGTGGACACAGTCCACATCCAATCACATAAAGCCCCCAGTACAAACCCCAACGAAAGCAAAACAGGATTTATTTGGCAAACAATGTAAAACGCCCGACAACACAGACACAACAACACATGATAATACTGCTTTGACATTATTGACATTACTGTTGTGAATATACTTGAGCCAAGAATCTCGGGATGTAATCAAGACGAGGTGAGGGTGATGTTTCGCAGTACATGGGTGATCGCGCACACGTGCTGCATGAGGCCTCATGCACGACAATGGAACTGTTCGCAAGGTTGTTGCAGAGATGGGATTTGCAGATTGTTTGATCGGACAAGCGTATCTGGAACTTTGTCAGTCCATCGTACGATGTAGCAACAAACACTGTTGCAAAACGCTGCATGATGTCAAGTGCCCAAATTCGAAGATGCCAGCAAACGTGTGCATGGGGGCACTGCCCACAGACAGATTGGTACAGCCAATGATTGTTACACGTGGTCTGCCTGCACGGCCAAGGGAAGCATTGTGCAATGATTGAGGAAGTCACCGAGAAATCGTTCACAGTCTTCTCTATGGGTGCCTCCACGAGCGCAGAGCTGCGGCCGACCTGTGCCTTCCCACCAGTGTGCAGCAACGCAGTCACCCAAGCAAGGCCTGCCCAGGGTAACACCAAGTGTGGGAACAGATTGTCAGCGTGGCAGGAGAAGTGCAGATTGTGGGAACCTTGACAAATAGTAAAACAGACCTGCAGACAGGAAGGGCAGCCAGAGCTACAAAGGCGCAGCTGTTTATTTTTTGGATCAGACTGATAATACAGTAATACTCATGTGTGTCCACAAACATGCGCGTTTACAGTGTCACAGCGGTGTTGATCAAATTTGCCATACGGATCACGACACGAGTCACTGCATGACGAGTTTGGTCGAACCAAGTGCTAAGCGCACCAACAGAAACATCTCATTGCTCATTTTCACAATGCCTTCCACATTCACAGATGAATTGTAGTGCTTGGAGGCATCAGTTAGACCTCTATGAGGGACTTTGCTCTTGCTGAGGCTGTCCCTGCCTGACTGGGGTTGTTGACTCACCGATATGTTCATACGTGACACACACGGTGCATTCCAACGCCAAGCTGTGTCCATCACCATTCACAACGCGAAGTTCCCACAACAATTTGTGCCCAGTCGCTTCGCAACCGTTGAGCCAACACAGGATTGTGACCCACCATCAGTCAAACCCTGAATCCATGCTTAACGCACTTTCCATCCGCCCCATTACCGAGTAGTTGAGCCACCGCCCCAGGTAGCCCTCATTGAGAACGGTGCGGGCGTTTGGTGAATGGCCCTTGCAGGACAGACCACAAGTGGCCGTCCCTGGCTGTCTAGGCGGTTTGCTGCACATTCTCATGTTCGCCAACATGATGGTGTTACCATACTGCTGTCGTGCTCGTCAACGGGCATTGCATGTGCGCATATGCCCGTCCTTCATGTGTGATTTTTGTCCACAGCGTTGCATTTCAATAGTGAGCAATGGAAATAATTCTCAGTTTCGAAGAGTTGCTGATCGCGCAGACGCCGCCTCTTGTCATGGCAGGCGGCCCCCCGCGGCCTCTGGGCCTGTTGGTCCACCCACTAGTCCATGTCGAATGCAGTACTGCGTGTTTGAACATGTGCCAAGGGGATCAATGCATTCTGTGCCCATACTTCAAGCGAAGCCCAGACTCGGCTCCTGGCACCGGGCACCAGATAGGGTTTACTGGGTCGACGGGCCGCCTTACTGTATGCAGGGTCCTTTCAATGTGCGACGACCAAAGGAGTTCGAGGGACGTCAGCGGCTCTTGGACCCGTGGAGGCGTCGCTCCCTGCATCGACGCGGGCACGCGCCTTGTATTGGCCTCTTGTCCTGCATCACTCAAGCCTTGCAGAACATCCCACCCCCCACCCATTGCGTCGCCACAGCCCCAGACTCCCAGCGACGGCGCGGCCGCCTCCATATGGTTGTCTGCGCGAATGGCGCGTCGGGGCCAGAGGCCAACGGCGCGCAGGCGCGTGACTGCGTGCACAGGCCAGGGGGGGCGACGGCGGTCAGCCACTGGCTCTCGGCCAAGCTCGCCCTGTACGGCCTGACGTTTGCCGACGCCCAGCTGGAGCGGGAGTATGAGGCCCACCTGCTGGCCTTCCTGCTGCCCCTGGACAGGGTGGGGCACGTCGCCCGTTTCGTGCTCGCCGCCCTCTTCGCGACGCGCCTGGCGGGCAGCGGCACACTGGCGAGCCTCTCCGGCCTGGCGCAGCTGATCGTGACGGCCTGCCTGGTGGCGGAGGTGTGCCTGTCCGGCAGGCTGGCCGCCGCTGCCGCGCGCCGCGGCCTCGACGCGAACGCCGCCATCCAGATCGCCTCCTCGCGTGTGAGGCTCGTCGCGGCATCCCTGGCAATCGACCTGCTCCTGGGGCCGATGGTGATGTCGGGGTGGAAGATGAAGGCGCACAGCCTGGCGTCCGCGGCCTCCTTCCGGGCCCTCCAGTCCGGCGCCCTGTTCATAGCCCTGGAGAACGCCTTCCGGCCCATGCTGCTCAAGCACCACCTGCCGATCGTGACGCTGATGGCCGCCTGGCTCATTTTCGTCCAGCCCGACGTTGGGTGCGCGAGCCTGGTGGAGGACCGTCCGGCCGCCGACGCGATTGTCAACCTCTGGGGGGCGTGTTCCGAGGCCTGCCGCGCGCTGCTGGGCGCCGTGTTCCTGCCGATCGCCGAGGGGAAGGCCAGGCCGCCGCCACTGTTGGCGTGCCGCCACGTGAAGGTCATCTTGGTCGCGGCCGGCCTGGTGTTTTCCTTGCACGCGACGTTCGCCCTGGAGCGTGTCTCCAGGCGCCGGTTCTTGAGGGCCAGGTCGCGGGGCGGAGAGCGGTGGGGCGCGGGAGGGGCCAGCACGCACCTCCAATGCGCGGCGCTCGGCGCCGTCTTCGTCGCTGTGGTCTGGGAGGTGGCGTCGTGGGGCCTCCGCCCTGGTGGACTGGCCACCCCCCGGGAACCGGTCTGACGGGCGGCTCTGGGGGAGAGTGCAAGCTTTGGGGCAAGCCGCGGAATGGCAAGGAAGCTGTGAAATGACTCATGCAGAATGGGAGCGTGGGGGCTTCGAAACGATGTTACCGTCTCCGTGAACGGCTCATGGATCTTGTGGCCTGCAGGGACTTCTGTGGGTCGGGTTTGTGGTGGAAGCGCGTAAGCGATGGATGCAGGAGGCTGCCGACAGGGCGAGGGCCATGCAGGCTTTGAAGAGCGGAAGAAGCTGGCAAGGGCCAGAGATTATCAGCAGCCAGGAGCGAACCTGGCGCATAAGGAAGGCAGTTCGCTGCCCTGTGCACTTTGTGCGAATTCGTGAAAAGGAAAACAGACCTAGCAAGTGTGCTGGAATGATTACACCGCTTGCAAATCGTGTTCATAATGTGTTGCAACTGTCCGAACGTGTTATTGGGTGGGTCGATCATGCTGGACAAGCAGAAATGCTGCGCTGCACATGCCATCTCTGCAAGAATCAACAACTGCACCAGTAGCGGTGACTGAGATCAAGTCTGCATCGCATACTTCGATTCAGCCGCAAGCTCCCCTGCCCTCACTTAGACTCTGCCTGACTCTGGTTGATGTCGATACACAACAACAAGCATGGAGACATTGTTCCTTTTCCTATTGTGCTTGCTTTATTTTCGTTCTCGGCCTTCTTGCAAGGAGATCTCCCTGACAAGGCCATCGATGGCAATGTTGGGCACTGATATATCCACAAGTATAGTGTTGACTGTCTTTGCATCGCAGCCAGTTGCAGGATAGTTGTATCGTCGTGGATACAGTTGCAAATGACAACGACACCACTATCACCACTGCCAACGGCGTATTGGGTGGCGAATGACCCGTTTCAACGTTTGTTTCTCTGCTGTGATCAATTCCCTCTCTACTCTCACGCGATCAGCGGAGCTTCCACTGATGAATCAATCAATGAATGAACTAGCCAATTAATCAATCAGCCCATGCATACTCACGCACACACACATCGCCAGCTGTAAGAATGGCATGCTTGTCGTACTGCACGAGCCAGTCGCCCACCTTGTTACCCCCCGCGCCGCCCATGAACGGAACTTCGTCATAGGATGCGACATCGTCCCTGAGCTTGTGTGTGCATGAACTCATGCAGCATCCACGTCACAACCTCGACCATGATGTGTCAGTCTGTGAACATTTAAAAGTTCGATCGCCATTCTAGAAGTTCCTGACACGCCCTGGCGTAATCCCTACAATCTCTACCTTCCAAGGAAGCCCCTTATAGTTTGAGCGACCCCTTGGCACATACAATTGGGATTGTAAATGGTTGTCTGTGGCACGTGCGCCACCCTGCACTCGCATGCGGTCAATAGTGAAACTCCACTCTGTTGCAACCCATCCTGTCAATATGGCTCGTCCTGGAGACGACTCGTGCACATCTCATCACACACCCTTAGGGTGATCAAACCACGTTCTCTGGCAGACGCACGACTCCTGATCCCTGGGCGTAAGATTTCACGTAATAGTAGCTGAAGGCACCACAGCACAACTAATGCTCAGCCAAACATCCCTGCTGCTTCATGCTGGGTCCACCGGTTGGGGAAGCCACAGCGGGAAGAACATTTGTGCATGCCAAGATACATGTGCTGTAAATTCTCAATTAAGCGCAGACACATTGACCAATGGAAAATTGTGAGAATGACAACAAAACTATGATGGCATGGTGACAGTAGTGGCAGAATATTGCTGGCAGTGTCGACAACAGCATGCACTGTAATGATGATGAAAGAGCTGGTGCAGTGGCACTGCAGGTGACAGGTGTTAAAGTCGATCTGCCACGTGCTGCGCCTTGCAGTGCATTGGTGCTAGTGGGCTCTCTAATCAATTGCCAAGTCGCTCATGCCTCCTCCTTTCAGCTGTCCCAGATCTTGCAATTGCATACAGACTACAATCATATAATTGTACTGGAACAGTCCCACTCGGTGTTGAATACTGCAATTGTTGCAACAGCAGTCGACTGAGATAACATGCATGCTTGTAAACATAATGCAGGAATGTATCTGCATTTGGGCTGTGGACAACCGCACGGAACAGGCAGTGCTCATTCAGCCACTGCAAGAAACACCCTAACTATCTACTGCCAGCAGGTGCTCAGGTGCAGAAGAGCGGGGGGGACAGAAAATCTGTGGCAACGCGGCTGGGACCTGATGGTACAAGCTACAAGAACCCCAATACATGAAACAGAGCAATATTTTTGACAGGCCCACTGAACCCTGGTGGTACAAGCAACACAGGATCCTGAGCTCAGACAGTGACACAGTGTTGCAGGCAAACTCCGCATGTAGCCAGTGGTGGCTGGAATGAAAAGAGTACATTGCAATGGTAATTAAATAGTAACAGCCCTGGGAGCTGACTGTAGTGTGTGATAAACTGGCAAGCGCGTGCCCACAATATAGGAAATGGTTATGACGTGCTCAACCCCTAAAACATCAAATCATACGGATATACCTGGCATCTGGAACACAACGTGCATATGGACAAAATCTGGCAAGGATGGATTCATCAAAGCAGGAATGCTGCTCACTTACAACGGCTTATTCCAGGTACCAGTGGCCAGTGACTCACCAAAAATCGGCCAGAATGAACGTCTGCACCACCTCAGACAGCAGCACCAGGACTGGCCAAGGGCCATAGCCCCAAATGTGCATCAGAAGACTGTTTCCATCCATGATCTGCACAAATGCAAGGTGGGTCGTCACACGCACAATCGATCGCTAACACTCTGGAGCCCAGTACAGTGGGTCGCAGAATGAAGGACACAACAATTGGTTGCACTTGAGTCTGACTGATCCCTTCCACGACAAGTTCCATTCTGCAACAAGATGATGCATCCAGAACTCGATGGCATTGCACCCAGAAGGCAAGACACACAGCAACACACCTGAAGGATCCAGTGAGCACAGCTGAAGAAGCGCGACAGCCCCAAACAGAACACATAGTGCCCTGTGAAGCGCTCAACCACCTGAGAAAACACACAGTCAACAATCCTGTCACAACCTCGCATACATTCTTACGCAACTTCGTTCCTTCAGCTGAAGACGATCATGCACAGTGCGGCACTGGGTTCCATGACCACATACCTTGTTCTTCTGCATGAGTCGCAGCTGTGGCAGCACCGACACTGCTTCAATGTAGACACATGATGCCCACAGCACCTGAAATCACAAACACAACTCATGCTTTTCATGAGTGTCATATGTGCGCCATAACAGCTCATATCAGCAGTCTGCAATGCAATATTTTCCGCTTGAGAATATTACACCACATTTCAGAATCCAGTTGCCATGACATAACGTAGCATATATACTTTAATGACTTGTGCATTTGTTGTTCCCATCACAAGCCTTGATAGCACCAGCACGACATGCACACGTTGGCAGAATATGTGCTGGTTAAATGCTCAAACCTGTATCAGGTCGAGAAGTGGCAAAATGATTCAATTCCATGGGCTGCCCCCTAAAGCAAGCAAACGATGTTGGGCAAGAACTAGGAATGGGTGGATGTTACGGAAACCCTTGCACTGCAAGCACAGGGGCCAAAGCAGTGCCCTACCCAAATGTTTCCTGAGCTGCTTTGTAATCCGAACACAGCGAATGCAACACAGCGCTAGCCAGTGTAACTGCTGCTAGTTGCTATTTCCAGTCCAAGCTAAGCTTTCCCTCCATGTACGACACAGTAGGGTACAAAACAATCAGATTTTCAACCAACAAGAGGCAGTTATTCCAAGCCCATCTCCAGCTATTGATGCTGATGCTATCTCCCGATGATGATTGCATACCCTGTCTTCAGGACATTTCACAAAGTCTGAAAAGGGGAAAAAAGCGCCCTTTTGTTGATTTCGGAGCTTCTTCAGCACCTTGGGCCAATGTCATCTGCACATGTGCCACACTGATGCACGTTTTGTCGATCTGCTCCCAGCGTCCAAGCCACCACACAAATGATGCCTTTGCCTCCTTGCCATCTGAAACTTGCATCAGTTTGCACTGCTACACCTGCACTTTCATCTGTTTCAGTGCCACCAGCACATTTTCTCCGTTGTGTCTCAGCCGATGACACTGTGCTCCTGTCCACAATATGGTCTGTGCCTCACCTTGTGGATCCAAATGTGCGTTGTCGAGGGATGAATGATGATGGCAAGCAGCACGCAAGGCCCCGCCTGCAGCAGCCCAACAGTGCTCTCAATTCCTCGAAGCCCCGAATTCACACAAGAGGTGGAGTTCCCCTTGCCCACCTTGCAAATCTGATGGCCCATTACATGACACCCTGGGATGTGCTTGTGGGGCACAAACAAAGGCGGTCCCTACTCGACGATGGACATCCCTGACTAGTCTGCCAGGAGTTTGTGCCGGGGGACCGTCCTCCTAATCCATCACCCAGTCACGGGGCCCTGGGCTCACCACGTATGCTGTCATCAGGGTGTCCAGCTCAACCTGGTAGGTGTGCTTCAGCTGGAACATCATTGTGTATATGACCCAGCCTGTTGCCAACAGTGTCAGGGCGTCCAGGACTGTGTGGATGTCGTACTCCATCATGAAGCTGCACCAAGGGAAGCCAGGAGTCACACCTGCCCAAGTACATGTGACAGCAGCAATTTCCCGCGACCACCAAGTCATGTGGCACCACGCGTCGCCCCGGGCTCGGGCAATAGGCTTCTTGCCGGGGACATGGTCGCTGGCGGACCGCACGATGGTGTGGGTGCGCGAGTTGCGCAGGTGCAGCCCGGCGAGAGCGACAATCAGAGAGTCCAAAAGAATCCAGGGGGAGGGGCCAAAACGAGTCGGGTCACAAGTAGGGGAGGCACGCGGGCGCCCCAGGCAGGCCTCTGCCAATCCCCAACGCACCTGCAGTACAATCGGACCGCCAGGAACAGAAAAGTGAGCTCCTGCGACCTCAGCGATATCCCTGCAGATGCAACGTGTCCAGACGCGCGTCAGCAACGTGAAGCCCCAAGAGCGGGCGCCCGGCCCGCCGCGCACCTCCCGCCCAGCACCGCCCCCTGGCCACGCACCCACGCAGGTCTTGTTGTTGAACAGCTTGTAAACCAGCAGCGCGATCCCGATGAAGTGGCAGATTTCGGCCAGGACGAACAGGAAGTCGTGGTCCTCAATCACAATCCAGAGGATAAACAGCACCTGTGCGCGACAACGGGAGGTCAGGTGATGCCAGGAATAGGGGGGCCCCCTCCACAGTGCTTCCCCAGCCGTGCCAATCCAGGGTCCTTTGCAACATCTGCTTCCCAGCGAGCGGGGCGCACCAAGATCCCGGCCGCCACGGACAGTATGGTCTTCTCGCGGGGCGACCGCGACTTCATCCATTTCACCACCACCGCTAGGGCGTCTCTCGATGTCTTCGGCTTGTCGTCGTCGGGATACATGCCTGCGCGCGGGCGCCTCGCCACCGGCCCAAGGTGGCGAGCCTGAGATCCCAGAAGTCACCGGCGGGGCGCACGGTCAATGCGGCTGGCGGGCGCACGGCTGCAGTGGCGAGAGGGGGGCAGGTGCTCAGGGCGGGGAAGGGGAGCTGCAATAACCCAGGAGGTCGTCCGCTGGGGGTCGCGCAGCGCTGTGCGCGGCGCTCACTGTGGCAGATTTCGGCCAGGACGAACAGGAAGTCGTGGTCCTCAATCACAATCCAGAGGATAAACAGCACCTGTGCGCGACAACGGGAGGTCAGGTGATGCCAGGAATAGGGGGGCCCCCTCCACAGTGCTTCCCCAGCCGTGCCAATCCAGGGTCCTTTGCAACATCTGCTTCCCAGCGAGCGGGGCGCACCAAGATCCCGGCCGCCACGGACAGTATGGTCTTCTCGCGGGGCGACCGCGACTTCATCCATTTCACCACCACCGCTAGGGCGTCTCTCGATGTCTTCGGCTTGTCGTCGTCGGGATACATGCCTGCGCGCGGGCGCCTCGCCACCGGCCCAAGGTGGCGAGCCTGAGATCCCAGAAGTCACCGGCGGGGCGCACGGTCAATGCGGCTGGCGGGCGCACGGCTGCAGTGGCGAGAGGGGGGCAGGTGCTCAGGGCGGGGAAGGGGAGCTGCAATAACCCAGGAGGTCGTCCGCTGGGGGTCGCGCAGCGCTGTGCGCGGCGCTCACTGTGTGATTGAGTGGGGCCGCCCTGCGGCCAGGCCTAGAAATCTGCCCAGACCGCGGGAACGGCGCTGTGATGATTGGGTGTCATGGCCCTCGTACGGCAGTGTGAGCGGCGTTGGGGATGGCCAAAATGGATGGGCCTGTTGTGCTTTCAGAAAGCCTGGCGCTCAACACCAGGCTTGGTTTTTACGCCGTGAAAACTGATCGCATTTACGTTTTTACGCGTAAAAATGGTTTTTACGTTTTTACGCGTAAAAATACGTAAAAATACGTAAATACGACGTAAAAACTGGCCGGTGTACATAAGGACAGTACATACAGACTTACGGAATCCTGAGAGTGGCAGCCAGACGCCCTGGAAGGGGCAGAAAACGAGTTTTTGTTAAGCACCATCATCGCCCTTGCCAGGGGCGAGGTGGACACTGTGTTGCGGGTGCTGGATATGGCGGAGGACTGATCATTGTACGCAACTTTCATCGTGTAATCTGGGCGTCCCAGGGGGCCGTAAAAACGTAAAAATAGCCGTGAAAATAGGGCCTTTTGCAAATTTACGTTTTTACGCGTAAAAACGTAAAAGTAAAATCGTAAACGTAAACGTAAAAACCAAGCCTGCTCAACACGGAGCGTTTGCTGCAGGAAATGCCACGAGCAAGGCAACAGGGCAGTGGTTGAAACGAAATGCAACAAATGAGCACAGCAATGCTGCATGAGGCACGAAATTACTCTGGGTGACACACAGAACTAGGCTGGCTAGCCATGCGACTGGCTAGCTATGATGAAGCAGCGCTGCTTTCATTTGGAAATCGGTTGAACAATGCCATACAGCCAACATACCGAATAAAATTGAAAATAACACCAAAGCATATTCAATGTGGTACCAAATTCCCGCCGGTACCAAAAATGTTGAACAGTGTACCAAAAAATGTTGAACCCAGTACCAATAAGTCATCGAATGGCAACGTTCGACCAGTCCTGTGACCAGCATTGGGCTTGCGCTTGGTTGGTTGATTTAGGATTTAGGGTTCAGGATTTATGAGCTCTGTATGGCGCCGCCATAATGATGGTGGCAATATGATGGCTAGTTGGTACTGGGTTCAACATTTTTTGGTACACTGTTCAACATTTTTGGTGCCAGCGGAAATTTGGTACCAGATTCAATCTGCGTTGGTACTAGTTCCAACTTTATTTGGTACGTCGGCAGTTTGATACCAGATTCAATGTTATTTGGTGCGGAGATAAATAGGTTCCAACAAGCGCAGGTAATCGGCTGACTGCTTTGAAGATGGTGGTGCAGTGCACCCGCACCAGGTGCACTTAGACACTGGTGGGGTTTTCCCTTGAGGTTGTAATGCACTGTCAAGAGCCACTGTCTGCTGGAGGCATCCCTCAGCTCGCCTGGGGGGCGCCACCCCGCTCCGTGCCAGCAACAGTATTTCACACACAGAGTTCTCTCCAGCCTGGCGCCGATGCTGACGTTCTGCCCAACGTGTGCGAACGTCCTCATGGGTGCGCTCCGCATGCGCACTTGTCGCAGATGCCGTGGGCATGCCTGCTGCAGCTTGCGCTTTGTTTTGCTGACCGTGTGCATGGCCTTTTGTCACCCAGTGCGAAAAGACGCGGGGGGCAACGTTAGGTACGCCTGCCAATCCTGCCCCTACACCTACTTCATCGACAAGGAGGTGAATCAAGCTTGCTGGGGCTGCAAACCGTCCCTTGTGCTTGTTCCCAGGGGAGGTCGTTGAAATCGCCAATTGGCAGTCAGCGGGAGAATTTGTTGTCAATTCTGCAGGTTCGGTTGCTCCTCGCCGTTTGAAAAGCCAGAGGCGCCATGGCTGACGACGTGATTCTGTTGGCAGATAACGAAGGTGATCCGCGTGCATAAGAAGGAGGTGGACGACGTTCTTGGCGGAGAGGACACTTGGAAGAATGCGCAGAGGACAGAAAACAGTGAGTCGCTCGCAGTACGGCCCGCGTTGGTGCGGCCCATGCAGCGGGTTTCACCAGCGTTGTGGTGAAAGCGTCTGATCCATTTGCCTGCCTCGAAACACAGAAAACAAGGACTGCTGCAGAAAATCAAGTGGCTAGGGTGGAAGCGGGAAGTACCTCTTGCAAAACAAGAACACAATGTTGTTGGTAGTCGTAGCCCAAATTGAGGTGCTGCTGTTGGCATTGGAGGAACTCCTAATTTCCCTTGTTTATTTTAATCAAATTTTTTGATTTCCAGTGTCCAATATCCAGCAGCCAGTACCATCAGGGGCATGGGCATTTGCAAATGAATCAGTCAAGAAGATAAACTGTATGGTGGAGTGCCTGTAATGCTATTGGGACCCGAGCAGTCGTTGCACATCTTGCCTGGAGGCCTTGGACCAGCACACAATAACATGCAGTATTTCCTCAGGGTATTGTGGATCGGCAATCATGTTGCCAACGCACAGCCACAGGATACAAGTTGCTGTACTATGCACACTCACCTAGAGTCCCAGCACTTTTCACAGAATTTTCGCAAAAATGAATATCGCTCTTTGCAACAGCCATGTTTCAAGAGACCTTGCTTTGTTGTCTTCCCTTTGGATCTGGTCTTCAACCTTCGCTGGGACCTGAATATTGTTATTGCTTGATTGCCAGATGCGGTAAGTGGCTTAACTCTGTTGTTGCACCATCAAAACCAGCAACTGGACACGATGCTACTGCTTCTGCAACTTGAATACGTGGACTTGCTATATTGACCGGGCGTACAATTTACATTTAGTAAAGGAAGATTACCCCATCTACTGTTGGTCGTCCGGGAAGTTGCATGTTGCGATGCAGCAACTACATGTATTGCAAAATTGTGGCATAGCAACTATGCTAGTGCTGTCCTGTGTGCTTCATGTAGCCACATGCTCGCCACATACAAGCCAATACGTTACATATTGGCCATACAAAAAATTTAACCTGAGAACACAGGCAAACACCTAAGTGGCATGAGCGCAACACTTGCTGCCCCACAGCGATTTGTTGATCTGGCTCAGGGCGAATAGTCTTTCTTGTACATGTGCATCCCTATGGTTTTAACATTTCCTTGAAAGGAATGGTTCACTCCGTGTATTTCATGCGTTGCACACTGGTAGGTCCATTGGGAGAGCAGTGCACTGTCACATTCGAGTGTTGGCTATACCGCAGCGCATATGCTGCCTATGCAGGGGAAACGCCAAGCTTCTGCCACTGAAGACATGCAGCATGTTCCTGTCAGATATGTGCTGTCAATGACTGCTGATGGATATTGTTGTTGCTGTTGCAGCTTCTTGTCCGTTGTGTGGCCACAACGAAGCATATTTCTTCGAAATGCAGACGAGGTCAGCTGATGAGCCAATGTCAGTATTCTACAAATGCCGAGAATGCAGCAACATCTGGAAAGAATGAAATTCAGGTTGCACTTGGGTTGTCCAGGCAAATGTACAACAGCTCGAGCCATGTGCTGCATGTAACAATTCAGTCCCGATGTGGTGTGGTATGGATAGCGATATGGTGGTGTGTCAAGGACGATGTCCAGCACTGACACCGGGGCAATTCTGTCAGGCTCAGCGCTAAGTTGTAGGGGTTTTGGGGGATGCCAGACTTGCGATGCCAGGATCCAACACAACTACGCAACATGGACACGAGCCGAAGGAAGTCCAGACCATTTATGACCTTTCAGGAACTCACCGAAAAATTGAAAGGGATCAACTCGCAATTGGCAACCACAAATGAAAAGTGAACAACTTGCGTCACATCTGCACAGCCCCTGCATGTGCTGCAAAGTGCATCCAGCCCGCGTTGTCGAGTCGACAACGGCAGCGTTCTGGTGATTCCGTCTGAGGGCACGATTCTCGTGTGCGATCCTGCCCTTGTAGTGCAACATCCGCGATCGGCCTAAGGGACTTTTTTCTGTGAGTGCGATTGCAAGTACTGTGGTGTTTTTGCGTGTGCCATCAATGATGAGGAATGGCATTCGCCAGCGGCGCTTGTGCCACATGCATGGCTGGCCGCCAGTTGGCTTTGAGATAGTAACGCCTTTCACCACGTTAAAAGATCCGAATGGTTGACGTTCACGGGTGCCGGCCATTTCGTCTAAAGACAACTCGTCTAACGGACAACTGGTCTAAGGACATTACGTCTAATGGACAACTCGTCTAAAATTTCGTTGACCCGAGTTGACTCACTCATATCCACATCGCAGAAGCAGCCGGTGCCCCGGGGGCACTCACCCGTCCAGCGTATTCCCCTAAACCCAAAAAACAACTCACTCACATCCGCATTCCAGATGAAGCCGGTGACCCGAGGGCCATCACCCGTTCAACGCATTCCCATAACCCCAAAAACCAACTCACTCGCATCCGCATTCTTGCTGAAGCCGGTGACCTGAGGGCCCTCACCCGTTTAGCGCATTCCCCTAAACCCCAAAACAACTCACTCACATGCGCATTCTTGCTGAAGCCGGTGACCTGAGGGCCCTCACCCGTTCAGCACATTCCCCTAAAACCCAAAAACAACTCACTCACATGCGTGTAACTTTAGTACTCCACCACCCGGTTCCTTGTGTAGAGGTGCCCGTGAGCGTGGAGCTTCAACGCCCTTTGTCCACGAATCAATTCCCATTGTGGACTGGGGTCGCGTTGGCTTGCCTCTCCCGTCGATCCACCCTCTTGCCTTGGCGGATCTGCGGGCTCCATGTCTGCCAGTCGCCTCTCCCTTTCGCCACCCTCCCCCGTCGATCTATTTTCGCCCCTTGGAGGATCCGCCGGCTCCATCGCCGACGATCGGAGCAGACGTTCGGCTACCTCCCCCGTCGATCCACCTCCGCGCCCGGTAGAATTTCCGCTTTCCATAGCTGCGAATCGACGCCGCACACTGCGCAAACCGTGGCACACCCGCCAGCCACGCGCCTGGATGGGCGCTCACCCTCCCATGCTGTCCTGCCCCCTGTGTGCGCGTCTGGAACGCGCCCAGGAACCAGTTCGGAATGCAGCCCACCAGCCCGCCACTAACGGAATGAAATGTAATTGTAGCTTAAATGCAGTTAATGGGCGCTGTTTAGACGAGTTGAGTCAACTCGTCTAAAGACAACCCGTCTAACACAAAGACGGAGTCAATGTTGCCATTGACTTCACCATAGGGCACTTGAACACACGCGACGGCTTTGAAAACGAGTGGTATTCATAACAGGGAAGTTTGTGTCACAGGTACACAACCAACCCGTGGCTGCGTTGAGGGTGGATAACTCGTCAGACGAGTTGTCCTTAGACCAAATGTCCTTAGACCACTTGTCCGTTAGACGAGTTGTCTTTAGACGAATTGGCCGGACACTGACGTTCACTGGGTCGAGCAGCTAATGTTTCGCTTAAAGAAATGTGTATTATGCTGTTGCACGCAATACGCTTTGCTTATGTGTTCTGCTGTTTGTGCATTTTTTCTATGGCCCGTTGTATAGTAGGTTCTGTAATAATTCCATCTTGTGTTTGCCCTAGCACTGTGCGATCGGCCACACGGACCCGTCCTTTCGCAGGCTTCGAGCAGCAGTGTCGTGTCTCAGTGCCATGTGTTTGTTCTTTGGGGCCCTCACACTGTGCGATCGGCCGCATGGGCCCGTCCCGTCACAGGCTTCGAGCGGCAGTGTCGTGTGTCGTGTCTCGCTGCCGCGTGGCCGTTTTCATTCTGCCCTCACACTGACAGTGTGACAGTGTGCGATCAGCTGCACGGCCTGTCCTGTCGCAGGCTTCAAGCGGCAGTGTCCATCTGTCGGTCTCGGGCGGAAGAGAGAATCAACGGCGCATGAACAGAGGCAACGGTTTTGTTCGCAGAGTCAACGGCAAGCACGGCAAGAAAAAGGAAAAAAAACGCAACGGTTAAATAGACAGCCAACGGATTTGTTGACAAAGTCAATGGCAGCTGCGGAAATAGGAGAAAGAAAAGGAAGGACGGTTCGTCTGGCAAAGGCAGCGACAACAGCGGCATCGTGGACAAAGCAACGGTAAAATTGTTAAAAATCGAAAAAAAACCGCTAAAAATGCACGATAAACTTTAAAATACGAAAAAAACCGGAAATATGGTATGGTAATAAACGGACGGGAGCAGGTGCCCAGCGCCGGGCTCTATTGTCGACAGGTGTACTCTCTTGCCTCGATAACCAACTCCGATTAACAGGAAGATCCATCAAATAATATGGTGTTACATCGACATGGTGGATTGATGCTAGGCGGAGAGGGGCTAAGCCCAGTGTGATGTTAAGCACAACAACATCGCCCATTTGCCAACACTCGCAAGCGACACCGCTCATTGACGCACAAAGAAACGGGGAATGTCCTGCACATACGAAAACGCCAGCCATTACAATAAATGACTCAATCAAACATCATAATGGAACGGTAATCTGGCCATAAAGCCACGGACTCATGTGCAAAAGCTGAACGCGCCTGCCTAGCACCACAACGATCGAAAAACATGCTCCAGCCAGTCGTGATGCCTCTTCCCTACGCTCCCGACGCAGCATGTCTGCCTGCCATTCATTTTGAGGGACATCGTCTCACGCTCATGCAATACACCTGCCACTTCCCAAATCTGCCAGTGTTGCAATAGTGCACCTGGAGGCTTGGTGCGATTGCGACTTGCGCGTGTAACACTACAACACCTTCATTCCAGCACAGCTGGGCCTGTCGTCTGGCCCCTTAGCAAATTGTTCAAAACCTTGTGCGTCGCTGGGAGGTAAAACCCAATGGCACAATGATAGCTAACCAAGAACACAACACCAATGTCAGCGTCCATAGGCCAGTCTTGAATTCACTCTTGGGTTAATTTGGCTGCCCGGAGAGACAGCTGACTTCCATTCGAAACACAAGGCAGCCAGCGACTGAAAAGAACGTCACTGCAACACCCCTTCCAAGGCAGCGGCTCTCCAGGCGCCGAACGACAGAAATCAAAGTCAGCTTGTCGGTGTCTATGAACAGGACTACCGAATCCCCACTCGAGATTTCTGGGTTCCAGTCACGCAAATGCAATCTCGATGTACAGTACAGTGTGCCCAGGTTCCCATCTATGTCGCGAATGTGGACACTTGGGCTCCAGTGTCGGTGGTGAGCGTGAGGGTGATGGCCGCCGACCGCTGGATGGCTGTGTAGGTGCCAAGGACGAAATGGCCCTCGCCACCCCTCGGAGAGACTGGCCGATTCCGAAATGCTGGGATGCTGGGCGACAGCAAGAGGTTGCTCTCTGGCAAGGCGACAGTACCTGGACACCATCGTGGATTTCGTCATGCACAGTTTGCTCACCAGCACCGACAGTCATGTGGCCAAGCACCATCCATGCTCTATAGGTTTCTGTATCTGAACCGTGCTACAGCATGGCTTCAAGCTCCCAGAGGCTGCAGGCAGATTGAATACACCCAACTTCGCACGAGGTCACAACCAAGGGGCTTCATGTCTATGGGAGTTTTTGGATTCCAAACATTACATCACATTTCACTCCAGGCGGCTCCTCCGTCCTATCACAAGACTAGTGGGCCTCGTGCCACCTAGCAAGAGATTGCAGGTGATGTACAGCCCCAAAATCTATTGGGAATGATTATGAGGCATGTTTGTCGTTGCTCAGCACTGCAAAATCTGCAAGTATCTGGCGTCCACTTGTAGATATGGATGGGCATTGTGTGTCCAAAGGACACCCTGCCTATTCTCTTGTTGCATCATTCACGCAGCGGACTACCATGAACTCCGGCTACCAGACACAAGCAATGAGAGGCTGTTCCCTGCTCGGCTGGACATCCAACATAAATGACAAGCACCCTGTTGCGGGAAGAAGTAGTAATTGGCGCTTAGCTCTGTGATCATTGATGCCAGAGCTGTCTACTCGCCCTGCCCACCAATGGGCTGCATGCTTCTGGCTGCTGATTGGCTCAGCCCCTAATCCCAGTATGACTTCAAAAGTGCAAGGCTGAAGAAGAAACATTTCAGGACGTCTGGAAGCTGCGAAACAACTACGCATGTATACTCGAAACACATGCGAATGGCAAGGACGCTGACGGCTCACTGTTGGCATTTGAACGGGGAAGAAGGGTGGTAAGAATTGGTCTGTGTTTTGGAAGCTGGAATGCAATTTCTCCTTATGGTCTGCTGGTGTCCTCGTGACAATGCATCTTCGTCATACCTTGCAAGCTCAGCTCCTTTACTATAGCCGCATCCTCCTCACAGGCCCAGTGCACAAATGGCGCTATACAAAGGGGTCCGCTCACCTGGAGGGAAGACATACAATGCCGACCCGAGCAGCTTCCATGATGACATGTCCACCGCAAAAGCATTGGGATTGTAAATTTGTATGTACTGCTCCAGCAGATTTTCCTGCGCCAGATCGACACCCACGATCTGCATCTGTGGCGCCTCGGGCTGTGCTTCAGGTATTAAAGGAACGACGCCAAAGGGACCGTACGTCTCATACAGCTGGGTGTATCGGGTGGGGAGCTGCTCTTCGATGAGCTGCCTGTGAATGCACAAAGATGCGGCCAATTTCTTCAGGAACGATTAGGAAAGCTGATATTTGTGCTGCAGACCACTTGCAGAAGAGGCTCCCATTACTGTATGCAACAGGAAGGACTGTCGCTGACCCTTTGATGCATGAGACATTTGGGGCCTGCCAGCATGGACACAGGTTGCCATACATGCGCACAGCAGATTATCACTTGGTCGCGTGCCACGCGTTCGTTCAAGGGGCCGGGTGCAGGGGCGGGGGGGGAGCATCATTAACATCAGCTCAAGCAGAAGCAGATTCCAATTAGGCACGTGGTGTCAACTGCCAAAGTGTTCCATTTAAGACCCCGAGAATAGCCTCAATGAACATTCCCACAGGACATTTCTGTGGACAAAACAACTGTGGTCTGTTGCAATCGTCCATTCTGCCACCACATTCTGGAATGCAATGATTGACTACTAAACGCTGCTATGAGCATGGCGGCATCAGATAACGCAAATCAGATACTTACTGATAGCCTTTGTCCAGCGCAGTCACGTCATCTGTGACACCCCACTGCTTGTTGTCCTTTACGGCTTCTTTTCGGATTAGATTGTAATAATCATCGATGATCTATGACGAAAATACACACGAATCTGTTAGCACAGGATGAAAGCTCCAACAATGTATTTGCTCTGTCCAGAACTAAATGAACATGCTTGCGAGGCCAAATTGGCCTAATAGTTTGACATTTTCCTTAAAAATCGTGCCATGATCTTACCTTTGAGTTTACTAGAGGATTTCAAAAGTTTTGTACAAATTGCATAACTACAGAGCAAGCGGCAGTACTTTGAACCCACACAAAAGTCGGAAATTATCAAGGTCTTGGCGGGGGCCCCAGAACGACCCCCTGAGTAATACCCTTGGGCTCGGCTGCCGTATTGTGTATTGCACTGGAGGATAGCCTGCACATCTCACCTCTTTGAGCCTTCCATTAAGGAACTGGTCCATCAGTGTCCGTAGCCTCCGCACGTACATTGTCCTCGTTACGGGTAGGTCCAGAATGGCATCATCCAGATGATGGTAATTACCTCTTGGACCCGTTTCCGCCGGTGTGAATGTGAGATCAGCGTCGTACTCTGCCGCCGTTGGCACCTGTGGGATAAACGGGAGGTGCCCTTCAGGGGCAAATACCGGACATCAACAATGGGGGAACCTGAGAACTTGAGGTCATCCTGCTTCCTGGAATTGCTGGCGAAGGGAATTTCGTCTTCCTCGTACGCTCCGCACACGAAATTTGCCGACTCGCGGGAGCACTTTCCCCAGTGGGCTGTCACTGGCCATGGCGCTTTCAGTTCGATGCTGGTTTCGCTGTCCTTGCGACGAAACAACAGATTCTGGCACACATAGTGGTCCTTTGGAGTCCAACGCGTCATCGGACTAAAATGGCTAAAAGGCGTCCATCAATGTTTACATCCTCACGCAGCAGCAAGCCAAAATGGTCCGCAACAGCTCAGGGATGTTTTCAAAGCGTTTCGCCACAATGACGCGTTCCACAGGCAGCGAAAAATTGTGTTATTATTCAAACATGTTACTGCCAGGTAGTGAAGAAGGCATATCCAGTGCGCAGTTTGGAGCGATGTTTGCATGCAGGCATGCAACGAAGCAGTCCCATGTTCTGCGACATCATTCGCCATCATTCTATATCGCCCAAAGCCAACAACGGGGCAGGGCACCCACCGGGTATTCCCTTGGCTGCATTCTTTGCCTGCACGCACCAAAAACCCAAAACCTCGGTGAAAACTCTAATTTTTGGTTCCATTCTTACGCGTCTCAAACACTTTCGAATGCGTTAACAGTAAAAGTTTTCGTCATATGCCATCGCTAAGAAGGGTCGGAAACTGTGTCAATTGGAATTCATCTGCCGGAAGAGATGCGGAACGTTCACACACTTCCTTTGGCCTGCTGCAGCTTATGAAATCTCCTACCTTGGCGCATTTCCACCGGCTACGAAGGAGCCCTCACATATATATAGCCCTCACTGGAGCCCTGCCTTACCAAAGCAGCTGATGCGTCTACCTTATGTTGGAAATACATTTCGGTACTAAATTTCCTGGACTATCAGTTACTCCTCGACTTTGGGTAGCTGCTCAACGCATAGGGATACCCGATGGTGCAGAAAGCGCCCGTGAAGGTATCAAGATGGCACCCGTGTAATTGCGCTGCATTGCCTTTGTTATGGTGGTGTCCTGGCCCAGGACTCCTGGGTCATGCAGCGAGAGACCCTCACACTTCCACGTTTCTACATTGTCTCTCGCCGCTTGATACACGACATCCAGATACAATACAATGATGAAATACATTCACATGGATGCACGTTCTGTGACCTCGGGGGTGTCGCGAATCACAGCACACGGCACGTCAAAGATGCCATACACGTTTGCAAAGATACGATCTGTGTTCTCTCTTGTTCATGCATACAATTGCGCCTGCCCTTTGAGAATTGGCTATGTCCGCAAAGGACCATGCAGCAGTGGTCTATTTCTATGTCTGCAGCAGCAGGATTGGGCAACGTGGTTTTCATGGCCGCTCTATAGCTCGTCAATCTAACGTAGGTTGTTAGCGGTTCTGAAATGCCTCCATATTGCCCAGTGGAGCGTCCGTTCAGGCAAGACCGCTTCAGTTGACAGTAGATCATACTGAACCATTGCAAATTTCAATTGTATCCTATTAGTTTCAGTCCTGGTTGATATGATCCACAACCTTCTGCGCACTGCGATTCAGACGTTTCAGCAATTGGAAGCCCGCAAGAATTGAATCAATCTTACTGCAAAGTCTGGGAGAGTCGCCTTCCCGCTGCGCCACTTTCCGCTACACCGCTTCCCGCTACGCCACTTCCTGCTACGCCAAACCCTCCAGGAACGAAACCACTTTGAAGAGGAATGTCCTGCAACAAACGAGAGTATGAGTGTGGATGTTATTTATGCTGTACACTCAATAAATCAAACAATACACATTGTCCTACAGCTGAACTTTGCACGGCTATTGATGCAACTTAAGTCCCTCGAAAGCCATGAATTAGATGGCGTCCAGCACCCAGAAGATCTAAATTGTACTTCCAGTCAGCCGTTTACAGTCAGTGTTGGCACATGCAACTGCAACAGAGGAGCTACAAATAGCCTCTAGATCGCTGATAGTTGCAGCCTGGTCGGTGTGGCATCCCCAGGGGCATGCCAGGGCAGTTGTCTAACCCATCAAATAAAAGCCGCTGCATTGTTATGCAGACCAAGCAGTCAGTGAAAATACGATGAATGTCGGGTTGGTGCCTGACAGCGCACCGCTCTCAGGCACACGTCCACATCACAACAGTGTTTCGATCGCACGGTAATGACCAAGTTCCGTGCATTGTTCGCAGGCTTGTTGCCTATGGCCTAAACCCTTATTTGTTTGCGCGCAAATAGCTGGAGAAATGCGTAGAAAACCCCTGTGTACATAAGGACAGTGCTCGCAGACTCATTCAGTCCGGGGAGTGCCATCCAGGCTCGCTGGACTGGGCAGAAACGATCTTTTGTTTGACGACGGCGTTACCCTTGCCGAGGGCGAGATGGACGCTGTGCTGCAAGTGATCGGAAGGCCGGAGGACTAATCATCGTTTGGGACATAATCATTCAACCTGCGTGTGTCGACGAGCCACAAGGATTCGTAAGTATGACTGCAAAAAGGGGATTTCCTTATTGGCGTGCTTTTGCGTGTAAAATGTAAATTTAAACGTACAGATGGTGCCGCAAACATAATAACAAGCCTGGTTGTTCGCGACACAGCACAGAAGCGGCGGAGCCAGGAACTTCATTTTCTTGCGAACATAGCATGCTGACGTTACCGCACATTTCCATGCACACATTCTGCAAAGTCTCAAATCGTATATGCAAAGACATAGTAAACCGGAATTGGCTCCGCACCTGTGGGTGATCGCTGTCGCAATACAATGGACTGTTCCATTGTTCACACACCAGAACGCAGTAATCTGGAGCTGGGACCCCTCCGAGGCCTGAGCTGATGCCCATTGCGCTCTCAGTATCCCACGGGAGAATCGACCAACGCTCGGTTATGGCATCACGGTATATGTAGAAATTCTTCGTGCATCGATCTTGGTTCAGCAGGAGGTTGTTGACAGCCATGTAGTTTATTATCTGCAACCGGACAACACACCAGAGCACTGTGAAGTCCTGTGCCCTTTGGAGGATAGCAACATTCGAGCTCCAAAAACAACAAATAGATGCAATTTTGCATACCAGTGATGCGTATATGTCCAGAGTTCCCTTAGGAAGTTGCCTGCGATTCCTTAGCGCTCTGGGAACTTGGAGTGTGTGTGCATCTTTCCATGCGGCGAGCCAGAATTTCCGACGGTCGCATCAGTCTCCCAAGTCGCCTCACCTCTGGGAGATCCAGGTACTCAAGGACAAACAGTGACCTGGAAATGGTTCCGCCGCCTCCAAGCGCCTGGTTCAGGCCGTACAGCGCCCACCAGTCGTCCACCTGCACCCGGTTTCCTTTCCTGTAGTAGAACCTCAGATCGTCTTGTTTTACATCCCACCGCAAGTTGCTCTGCTCTGAAGTCGCCTTGAAGAGCATCCCCGCCACACTCCTACCATTTTTCTGCACGAAAATTTGATTCATGGTCACCGTGCGTGCATCCACAAAAACTCCCCAGATATCTGGCAATATCATGCTCAACTCTCCCACGCGCTGTTGACAAACTCCATGTGACTTTCATGGCGTGCAAAATGTGCTGATGATGCACGTGTAAGGTGTGATGTGCCGTCATCACAATATCTTCTTGCACACGAAGGAAATGGAATCGTCATGTGCGGGTAAGTGTGATGAATAGAATGTATGCGCGCTGTAGATGGTTGCTCGCGAAAAACTACCTTTAATGTAGAAGCTACCAGTAGCTTGTCTGGAAGCTACTCACCTCCAGGAAGGAATCATCAATTTGCTCCACGAATGCAAATAGCCCGTAGTAGACGCCATTCTGGCGGACGTGGACATGGAAACTCTGTGGTGCAGGAACCCCAGCCTCGCGCATCACTTGGAAGGCCACTGGCTCTCTCAGGTACGTGTCCTCACCAGGCTCTTCCCAGAAGGACTGGAGGTTGAACTCTTCAACACTCCGGTGGTCCGTCAATTTGAATACCTGCAATGCGAAACAATCAGTTTCAAACACGCACATTGGTGTAAGCGCAGCTGCACTCGCGGCTGCATGGAATGTCGTGTACGCATTCAGTGCCCTAGCGTCCACAATAGTGCGGACGTAAGTACGTTATCAATGGTGCCCATGTCTACTATCAACAATGGTCACTGGTGCCTTAGATAAAGCCATCTCGAAACCGCAATGCGCGAAACTTGAAAATATCAATTTGTTGCACCAAATCCAGGCCCCGAAGCGTGGGTGCACTCAGCCATTACACAGAAACTCCACATTTACTTGTGTGTTCACCATGACCGTTCATGTCAAATAATTGGTGCATCGTGGTCTGCATGGTTTCCGACCTGCAATTTGCGTGCAGCAGATGTGCGAGCACGTAAATTGAGTCTCACCAACATCTCTAGGCTGTTGACAGTATCATCTTGGAACGTTCCCAATTCCCTGCACTGCGTGTTTTAGAGTTTGCACGTCTCTCCGCACACCTTTCCCTTGAAGTCAAACTTTATTTTCGGCTTTGGCCATGTCAAAGCAGTGACCCCCCTCCTTCGGGAAAGCACGTTGTCGTAGAAGCGCCCTTCGTAGTACAGGGAGCCCTGTCCGCCCTCCTGGCTGGTTGCCAATGCAGGGTCGAATGAATACCTGGACCATGCAGTTCGGTCAGTACAGGAACCACGCACCATTTTCAGCGCTTGTGCAGTTCCAAGCACCAATTAGCCATTCCCTATAGGCGCAAGAACCATGGGCTTAACATTAAATTTCAGGCTTATGTTCACACAGATCTCGACCCCCAAAAGCCCACCCCCAACTCCGCCTCCCACCACCAGCCAAGCCCTCTCAACGGTGGAGTCAGATGCGCAGATAAAGCATGGCATAGGTAAAGTAATGGCCGCCGAATGTAGTTAGTTACACACTCTGACAACAAAATGTGGTGCCGAGGGCAGTGCTTCTAAAGTGGCGAGCAGCAGGCCAATTGCCACCTGGCACGTCTCGCTTACCAGTGAAGAATCGGAAGGTCGCTCTTCACAGATGGATCTGCAATGACAGTTCCGTAGTATACAGGGTACTCCTCAGGGAGGAGGGGGGGATCCCTGGATTCGTTGCCCTCCGTATCCACTCCCTGTGGCATGAGGCAATATGACGGAACTTAGAACAGGGGTGGCTCAGCTGCTGATTCTGAGAGCAATGGGCAATTGCTGCGGGCCAGGAAAATCCAAGCCAGGTGGAGTATGAAATTCGTCAGGGTATGATGTTTTCACCTGGACGAGCGTGTTGTATCCAATGAGATATGTGGCAAATTAGTGCAATGTACAGCAGAGCCCGGTTGCTGGTGTATGTCAAATGCACAGGTGTGCATGTTGTCAAAGTTAGGTGAGCCCTATGACTGTGGGCGAGACTGTGTACACGGCTGCCCGTACAGCTGTGGTGCTCAGGACTCAAAGGGACTAATATGGATGGAGTTGGACAGATGAATACTCCAATGCGACTAAAATGCATTGGTTCACCAATACATCAAATAAGCAGGGCAAGTCTGAGGAATTTCGGAACAGTGGGGTTGGCACCATGCAAAGCATGTGGTCAGCAGAAGCAAGTGCCACTCAAAGCAATTCGGATGCAGGGCACCACCAGGAAGAGCAGCCAATTAGTACATACAGAATGCGTATGACCTGTTGATTGACTTGTAATGGTGTATTCTGGTGTTGGCACCAACAACATCGCATAACTCCAACCCAACCAATGGGCTCAAGTTATCACACCAAAGGAACATATGGACCCCCCAGCGCTGCAAGCTGCACGATGCTTCTTGGATGAAACTCCTCGGAAATTGTACAAGTCGCCACTGCTGGTCGTGTGCAAACATAAAGCTTTGGTGGGTACGTTGGTGTTAGCGCAAAATGAAAGGCAACACCTACACCAAGCAACAGCATGGAAATATCCAGAACTTACTCACCGTCACAAACCAGCGAACCATGTCACTTGCAGTAAATGTGGCCGCAGGAATTACAGTGGTGAAGACGTGGTTGCCTGTTGCCAGCAATATAACACAACATTGAGGTGGTGGTGTTGATGCTACAGATTGTACATTTAGCATCCCTCATGTGCTTACAGATGACGTGCAGGCACTCAAGATTTAGGTTGACAAAGTTGTCGCCCCTTGGAATTCATTGTGATTCGTTGCAAGACATGCCGTATCCCAGCATTGTCTGCTTGGGATTTGAAACGACTTTTCGAGCTTCATTCCATTGCACTTTGCATTCAGCTCATGAAAAGACAGATGGAACTGCGAAAACTGAGTGACGTCGGAGCAACAGTGCTGACAGCAAACAGATGTAATCACTGCCACGGCTCACCCAAATAACGCCATTGGATTGACTGCATATGGGGGCTGCTTGAGCATACCAAGCAGTTTGCTGCCCACAAAGATGTGGCAAACAAGCTAATTCAGTGGCTGCATCTTAAAGGTATGTCTTTGGAAGCTGCTTCCCATAGATGATGTTAACAACAGGAGGCTGTTGCACATTTTTCTTAAGTATTCACTGCCAATAAGGCCAGGAGCAAAACGCTCTTTAAGCATCATGCGCTATGAAGGTTGCAGTCCACATTATTGACAGTTGCCAATCTTTCCATGACATTGACGGTTCTCCATTTGCAAACTGTTCTTGCCCCATCCACCATGCCCAGACCTGCACAGGAATTCACTGTCAGGATTCTCACAGTTTGAGAACATGTTCAATGATTAGATGCAGAAAAGGGGAATCCAGTTGCAGACCATACTGAGTGCCTTCACTGATGTGCATCCAAGGACATGGCTATCATGCTCCAAGCCAGTCTTGTCCATTTGCCTCGAGTTCCTGGGGCTGACACTAAATGCCACAACCAGGGGTCACCTGAGTTGAGCATTTCCACTGCTGCTTCTTCGCCATAGTTGACTCTGTAAGTCAGAAAAATTTGCTGCACAGGATGCAGGTGTTCTGCAACAAACGCGGTGATAGTGAGGTCTTCTCCTTCGGGGGGCATCTCCTCCCCATGCTCATGGAGCACACTGCAGCAGAATGAATATCAAAATTTATGCTCCTTCTCTCCGGATCAGAGAATTGTCCATTTCCCACATAAGGCAACGTCCCTTCCAGCCAGAAGCTCTGACTGCCCCGCCCAAAGAGGCGTTGCCACATAAACATGAACAGGCGTTGACTAATGTCCGATTGTCTTTTTGCAATCATATTTCAGTTCCTAAACAGAATCTGAAACTCCAGTGGTGCTATCACATTCACCAGTTAAAAGTGATGTACGCAAGCTGCAATTAACATCTAGCAAACAGCTCTGTGTGTCTAGCAAAACAAACTTACTCCAGGAACTGCGCTGCTGCAATGAAATCACAGAACAGTGGCAACAAGGATAATTATTGCTACCACATATGGCAACAGCACGTCGCTTGCCAGCACCAAGTGAAATTCCAGCAATGAGACATGTGTGACTCATGGGCTTCTGCACGCAGGTACAGACACAGCACGTTTGCACAGAATCGTTGTGCGCATGATTTTCCATGCACAGATATGCATGGTGAACAACACGGTCATAAAACATTCGAAGACAGTTGTGGCCAAACCTTGAGATGTATGGTCCTCTTTGCAGTGGTTCTGAATTCGGTTCTGCAGGAGTGGGACGGGAGAGGAATGTGAAGACATTCTGCAGCTTGTCAGCCTCAGGAAAGGCAGTCAGATCAGGGATTCCATATGAGATATTAGGAAGCTGTCTGGAAGCATCGCAAGCACACAGAGCCCATTACTCATTCATGCTTATCGCGTTCATTGAATACCATGATTCCTGACCAGGCAGCACATAAGTTATGGTGCTAGACGCAGTGGTAAATCTTGGTACAGAGCAATACTACACACCACAATTCGCACTCCTGTTCTATGGTTGAATAGTAAAATTGCCACAATAACACTGCATGAAGGTGGACTAGTGTGTTGGACAACAATGAAAGCTTCAGGAGCAGAAACGCCTGCACTGAGATTGTCATGCATTCCCGCATCGATGTTTTGTTACTAGCAGAGTAAAATTGCCATCAGAATATTTGTTGCCTTGTGCTGGAGATCAACGTGTGGATTCTGCAATCAGTCACAGTAGCAGCTGCAAAACACTTACCGAGGGTATTCGTTCGATATTGCAGTGGCAATGGTGCCATCAGGCCTGACTAAGGCAATGTACTCGCCATCAGATTTCAACCGAAAATTTGTGTGGAGAGCGTTTGCATTGGTGCTCCTGTCCTTGCCTGCAACACACAATTTCCTCCTTGTGAGTGTCACCTAAATTAAACAGAATTCACGTGCATTGGCTAGTTCTGTAGAAGTCAAAAATCTGGAAGACTCATAACATGCTCATAGCTGTTCCACTACCACTTCAAAGGCAACCACATCCGTTGGAGGTGCCACATGACCTGCTGTGATTACAACAGTGTACAAAAGAGTTTTCACAGAAATAGTTTCTGGTCTCACAGCCGTGCAACTAGCACGATGAAAGACTTCCACAAACAATGCAAGATTAAGGAACAAAAGCACGCACAAAAAGGCAGCTGTACATTTGGCGCACATGGAGCAGCGACGGAAACGAATTCCGAAACGGGAGCTGTGACTGTAGCATAGCAGGGGACGCACACTGAATGGGAAAGATGAAAAAGCTGCTTTTCTTTGTACCTGAGGCGAAAAGGACGTAATAACCTCCTCCAACAAAAGTCAGATCAGGAAACAGCCACTTCCGTGGCTCGTCTGGGTCATCTGTTATGGACCAGTCCTTGCAGCAAGAAATATGGAAAGTGAGTACACAATGCTGAAGATGAGCAGCACGGAAATTGTGCAATCCAGCCAGAAGGCAGCCGCAACTATCCTGAAAATCCACCGTCCTGATGGAATATTTTGGAACTCTTTTCAGGGCTATTTAAGTGAACACAGCCACGTTTGCTTCTTCGCAATGTGGAAACGCAAGACTTGAGCAGTGGCAGGTGCAGACTGTACAATTCTGGCTGTTACCAAATTAGGGCACTGCAACATGGGTGTGCGTGTGGTTGTGCTTCACCGAAACCCATACAGGCAGCATAGCCACCACAACATTCGATTAGCATGAATATTCAAATCACAAGGATTTCCATCGACATACACTGCACATGAATAGTCATACCTTTAGGCTGATGTCAAAGGATTCTGCGTTGTGGATTTCGATCCAGTCCGGGAACTGGCCTTCGTCGTCAGGCAAATACCTGTCATTTACGGCCATAATTTCTGTTATGGTGACAGTGAGCCCTGGTGTGGACTCCAGTCGGACGTTTGGCGAAATATCTGAATCATCGGGAATAGGTTGGCCTGCTGCCTTTTTCCGCCTAGGAGGCTTCCTTGACGGCTCTGGCACATCTTGAATTTCCTGCTCAATCTGGCACCACAGAGTGACATGCCGCTGAGTTTGTGCAAGCGGCATCAGTATCTCCACACCCCGTTAGTAATAACAAACGGCTTGGGGAATTATCAGCCATTTATGAGTGATGGTAATTACAGACTGATACAATTGTTGCTGCCCCAAATACCGGCAACAACATGCTTGTGAATTTCATACTGTGGTGCATCTGCACATGCAATTTGCAAAATATTGCGCAAACCACAACGATCCCTTTACTGAGATCATTTCAATCTATGTTTGGGAAACGTTTACAGGAGCTATGTAGTCACAGCAGCACTTGGGCGTGGATTAAAAATCTCTTGGTTCCAATGAAATGGACGCTTGGGCGTTTTTCCCCCATTGCATTTACCGCTCCAGAATAGATAACAGAAAATATGCTCTTGAAATGTGCCTGCAAGATCGCAGCAGAATTGCAGAAGCAGCTCGCAATTTTATTGTGCACTTTGCTATCAAGCGCCGCAGCATTGCATGTGCAATTGCAGTTTTCTTGCACCAGGTCTGGCAATCATGGAACAATCTGCAGTATGAACAAGCTAGGGCAGCACACATGACCGAGACGCCAAGTGTTGTATGTTTGTGACGAATGTGATTGATCAGCAGGCAGAAATAACTGAAGAGCACTTTCTATGCCGGTTACAGCGTTTTGCAGTACCCATTGCTTTGTTTCGGTTAAAGACGTCGGTTTTTCCTTCAAATTTACCAGGAGCGCCATTTATTGGACATTTCCAAACTCGGCAGCAACCTACCGGCAATTCGGGGCACAGCACAAACGATCCATCCTGCCGTCTACACCTGCATCCAACACCACATGGAGCCCAGCATCAAGGCCAAGGTCGCGTGTCCTTTGGGTCCAGTGGGGTGGCAGCACGATGCCATGCCGTGAAGCCACCAAGAGCTCAACCATCCCAGCCACTCGTGCTCATTGAATCCATTGCTCCTGGGAAGAGCCAGCAGACATCCGTGCCTGGCAGCGGAACGTCGGTGCTTGTGTCCACGATTCTCATTCCCATGTCCGCTCCGGAAGCGCATCCATTACCACTCCGGAGCAACCTCACATGCGCTCTTTCTCCCGCGAGCCCGTGGGCATTCGTTGGCCAGCAGGTGCCGGCCCTGCCGCCCGCCTGCCCCGTTCCCCGCGTCCAACTCACCAATTCTCCCCGCCGAACGCGGAACAGCCAACGAGGAAGGCTCCATCGTGCTCCACGGGAAACACCTGACCCGATCCACACTCGTCACCATTCCCTGCGCCCACAGCCACGCCTAATCAGTCGCCCCTGCCACCGTGAACGCCCTGCAAGCTCTGCGCACTCGCCACAACGCGCTGCGCCGCGATGTGCCAGAACGTGCCCACACACAGCATAGCCAAGTTTGGCTTTGCAGCAGCGACCTCTCCGATGCGCCTCGCAGCGCAAACGCGCACTCGCGCTCATCCGCATGGGCTCGGCCCATGCAGATGTGACCCCAATGGCACGCGGCCCGCAGATGCGCAAATTGGGGGCCAAATGCGCTCTCGCGGGCCCCATGCGCGGCCCGGGGCGCTTACCCCCGAGGTCCAGTCCCTGCGGCGACACCATGGCCGCCTGTGTCCACAGCGCCAGCGCGGCGGACCACCAGATCCACGCCCCCCGCCATTGCATTGCTGTAGGGGGCCACCGCCCGGCGAATCTGACCACGGCGCTCCACCAGCGGCCTCGGCGCGGCCCCGCCTGTTCTCCGCCGCTTAGCCGTGGTGCGGGCTGCAGATTCGAGGCCCAGGGGACGGGCGACGCGGTGGCCTGGTCTCGCAGGGAGGTCCAACTGGAGCCGAACTTGAATCCAAACTTCGGTCTCAACCGGGGAGAGTGAAGGAGGCCGCGATGTCGTGATGGGACAGGCAAACTGCAGCTCGTCGATGATGCACTGAACAGTGCACATGGGCTTTGCATAGCGGGTGCGGGGGCTGGTGCGCCTCCAGTACGCACCAGCTATTCGCGAAATCGCATCGATCGTATCATGGGCAGCGGCGGGGCAGCATTGGCAGGTACTGTGCAGAGCGATTTTCGTCCTCGATTTCCGAGTGGTGCTCGCAGGGCCTGCGCAATGGTCAGAATCTAGGATCTTTGCGGCCAGGGATCCTGGCCGAGCTTAAAGCACCCTGAAGAAGCGCTGAAAATTGGGCGGAACTGCCTGTCACTGTTGAGGCTGTGAGGAGGAGCACTCACAAAGTGGACGGCTGTTCAGGACAACAACCGCCTGGAGTTAGAATTCGTCTCGCCATCCTCTCCACCCTCACATTTCACTGTGCTGAAGTAACTGTTGGGGAAGAAAATATGTAGATTTTGGTGCGCTTAGCGTCAAATTGACGCTAAGGGTGGGTGGATGGGGGGATGGGTGAGGAGGGTTCAGAACTGTGACGCTAGGAGATTATGTAATTGACACAAAATCGGCACAAGGAAGGCAGGCGCCCAAAAACGCCACTGATAAACGGCAAACAACCCCTGACATGTTCCTAAGCGTGTTTCAAATGTTCGATCGTCAAAGAAGGCCTTAGAATGGATCAATTTGCAGCCATTGAGGCTGCCCACCTCGCCTGTAATGTCATTTAGAGTCCCATTTTTCAGCCCACTGAAATTCCACGATACCGAGATGATGGCAGGTACACAATCCCGAGTTAGATGCTTGCAGCACACCAGATGAACTAGTGGCCAGCATAGTACATTTATCTTGCAGTACCTATTGCTGCAGAAATTCATTTGCACAGGGGCAAGTATTTGTAACATCGCCAGCAGTTTGGGCCATCCCATTCCTTTTCGATTTAACTGGCAGAGCTGTCGGACAGGTGCCAGTTGAAGTTGCGCTGGAAAAGTCAATGACCGTGGCCTTGCTTGAACTGCTACCGCCATGTTAGAGGCATGTCCAATAAAAGGTGGGTTGTACCGGATGGCGTTGTCTAAGTATGAATAGTGCCCTCCGGCATAACGCATCTCTTCAAATGCCAGTAAATATATTATTCTGTGTGACACAAAAAGGCTTCTGTTTAACTCTTAGAGGTAAACAGGTAGTAGCGGGCATATATACCTTCCTGAGGAATGCACTGGAACCGTATATGCAGGCAGCACTGTAGATGGCGCTTGCTTACCGAGATTCAAAGGACGATGAAAATCATGTTATTGGAAGTAATGGCACAAACCTTGTACGTAACGGAATGAACTCTCCCTAGCGTCTGTAATTTTATTGCTTTAAAATGATAGTGTTTGAAGACTGGGTGGGATGTGCAGTAGAATCGCGCACAGCCGCTACTTCAGCGTCAAATATGAATGAACAAACAATCGCATGTCCATCTACATGACTGTATATCTATTGTATGATAAACTACAGAATTTGATTGCCAGTTAACTGGCAGCTGGAACGTTCCAGCATGGCATGCGCAGAGCTGCACATGCAGTTTGACAGCTTGGGAGGCCACCCAATCATTTTCCTGCCGAGTGACCATCGGACAACTGGAACCAACACAGGTGGCCATCGACGCCTTTCGAGATTTCCACTCGTTGGCTATGTAACGCAAGCGGCATGTCGTCAAATGAGCCCCATGTACAGATGCCGACCGTCGTCGTATGCCAGATTTATGTCGATGTCGGCATGTCCACAATTGCATTCTTGTGCGTTCATTTGAAGGATGCTTCACCGTCTTACGATAGACGAGGTCGCATGGGATCCCACCCCAAGGCCAACGCATCTTTGACCCTACGGAGCGGACACGGACAGCCTGATGATCGCCGATGCAGCACCACTTAACTGCACACCCCCCAGTGCCCAGTACTGGGTCATTCCCTGGGGGACACCCGCCCAATTCTGATGAAAACGGCTCCGTACTGGACGAAGAGGACGCCCGTTTGTGGTCCCAACACCGTCCAGGCTATTCCGCTGGTCATGGAGCCCTTCCAGTTGCGAATTTGCCGAGCGGAAGGAAAGTGGGGACGCTCACTGGACACAATGCCAATGAAGAACCTCCTCACAGGCGGCGATAAGTTTTCAAAGTGCAGAAGCAGTAATACTATTGCTGCCATCATCTTTGGGGAAGTAGTTGACTTTACGGGGTTCCAACTTACGAGCTTTAGCCCTTGGTGCGTTCAGCGCCACATCCAGATGCCGTAGGCGATGGACTCGGCAATCAGAGGCTTGTTTTGCCCATCCGTTTTTCCTTTTTCGGCAGCATAAAGTAAGTGCGCTCGCAGCCTGGACGCATTTCTGTGACACGGCCGACGCGGCATTGTTGTTCGCACACCCGAATGTACTCCGTGCGCGGTCGCAACATCTCGAACCATCATTTTTTAGTTGTTTTAATTGATCTTAAACATCTTTATCGTATACACGTCCCGAGACCAAAAATTCTGTCTGTTGCAGAAGGTATCGGCATCGACGGTAGGTGCGGTAGCGGTTCTGTGGGTACGGCACCTCGCTGGGAGTGACCAGGCGGGCGTCGGCTTCTTCCTCACCCGCACTCCTCAGCCAGTCGTACCCAGCCGTCCGGAACACAGCACCCACGGGTCCCTGCTGAGTCCCCCCCTGGGTCCTTTCTGACGCGGAAAGGCGACGCCTCGTCAACATCTGGGGCATCCCCGACCTCCCGTCGCCATCCGGGCCCCCCGGGGTGCCGTCCTTGGACACAGGTCCGACCCAGCCGGGCCTGAAGCTCACCTTGGGGTGCCATGCCGACCAAATTCTTGGCCCGGCTCAAGGCCGTGGATTTCTACAAAAAGCTGCCCAGGTGCGGGCCGCTCCGATGCTGGCGCCGTGGCTGCGGCGTCGCCCTGTGTTGTGCAATCTCAGGCACTTGTGTGTCCCTCTCGCAGCGACCTGAGCGAGGCGACGTTGGCGGGCGCCTGGATCTCCATAGGGGCGGCGATCGTCATATCTGTGCTGCTGGGACTGGTGCGTGGTCCTCTGTGGATTGAGGAGCGAGGTTTGCGCGCAATGAGCTGACTTGCGCCCCTGGCGGCAAGCGTGCGCTCTCCTCTCGTCGCGGGCTCTCCTCGCGTCGCAGGGCGGGCTTGTGCTCGCCATGGACCCATCTTTGATGCGGTGAGGTGTGCGCCAGGAATTCTTCAATTTCATGCAAGTGCAGACTCAGACGGAGCTCGTCGTTGATCGGTCCCGACAGGGTGAACTGCTCCGAATCAACTTCAACATCAGGTGTGGCGTCAACGAGCGTGGTCCAGGTCCAATCGTCTGCAAGCTCTTCCGTGCATCAGTGTCCTGTCGCTGCTCAGCTGATGGGAACACCAGGGGAATAGCTGGGAGCCGAAACTCAAGCCGAACTCAATTCGGATCTTTGCTCTGCCTGTTGTTTCACAACTAATCCACGTGAAGAACTGTGGGAGTTCAGTAACTGTTATGCAGTGGATTCAACATGGCTAATGTGTTGCTGGATGTGCAGCGTATGTATCCCTTGTCTGTTTGCTGATGCTGTTCCTGTTGGCCCATCCAGCTTTCCGGCCCTCTCCTGCGAGTTTGCAACACTGGATGTGAGCGATGCCCTGGGGACGGTGAGAGCATAGGCTTGAGCAATAAGCGCACTTGGCACTCAAAACAAAAATAAAACCTTACCTGCACAATGTGGTCTGCATCACGTGAGACGTCTGCCACCCAGGCCTGCTAAGCCAGGATGTATGCCTTGCCTGAACTGATTTACGTCTGCATGCTTTTCCTTGGAGCGCGTTTGCTTCACAGCTCTCTTTTTTATCAGGACTGCAAACAGTGTGCATCTCTTATACAAGCGTGTGCCATTGGTGCCAGAAAAAAATAAATTTGACAAAAACACTGCGGAAGACACCACTCGACTTTGACGGCAACTGGGCAGGACTGGCTGAGCATGACAGGCAGCTGCCAGAGCCGAAATACGATGACGAAATGGTAAGGTCGTCTGTGATCTCCTGAAGGGCAGTGTTGCAGGTTGCACAAGCATGCGGCTGCAGCTTTGCATAAAGTAACCGGCTTGAGGCAGGTGTCCCTTGTTCTTCCTTGCAATGTTTCGCTCAAGCCAAATCAGTGCTTGCTATGACCATCCATTTGCCTTTCTGGTTGATGTAAGTGGTATACTGTGTTTGATGACATTCTATCACCTGTCACCGCAGCCCGAGCTGGATGATGTTGATATTTCACTTCCCTTGACAGAGCAAACATTCGAATGGACACTGCAGAGGTACCCGATAGGTGAGAAGTGGTTGGCAACCAATTGTAAACTGTGTAATAGGCAGCTTTAAGGCTCAGTCATGTGTGGCCCCATCATCTCTAGGTTTGGGGGCACCTTCACGTCTTGTGAACAGGGCGACTGTTGAGCTTAAACATTCTGAGACTTCCTGAGTGTGTGTTCGTCGCTGCCCCCTCTTGCTAGCCAGCTCAAGCTTGCATTGGTTGTTGTGGACAGTCTTTGTGAACTTCTATGCACCATGGTGTCCATGGTGTCAAAGAATGGAGCCATCGTGGGAGGCTGCAACAAAGCAGATACATGACAAATATCCAGAATCGGATGGCCGAATTCGGATGGCAAAGGTGGGGAATTATGTCCTTTTGTGCTTCATGGAACAGTATGGCAATGTTGCTGCACTTGCCACCCATCATTTGCAAGGCAATCAACACTGGCAAGCAACGCCTTGCATTGCGTCGGTGTGTTCCATACAGCAACCTGTTTTCTGTTGCTAGTGCATTGCACCACCCACTCAACCAGAATGCAACCTGAACTCTGACTTTTGAAGTTCTGCATAAGTGTGAAAGTTCAGTCCTGCCAATCATCCCGCTCACTTCATCGTTTGTTTCAGGTCGATTGCACCGCCCAGAATCCGCTCTGCATGAAGCATGGTATCACTGGATTCCCATCGATGAGAGTATACAGGAAAGGTCATGACGAAATATACACTCATGGGTTAAAGGACCATGAGGCCTACACTGGCCATCGCACTGTGCAAGCATTTGTGGCCTTTGTCGAGTCACTTGTCCCTTCTGCTGGTAAACCCCACACGAGGCATGCGAATCTCAAAAAGGTGTCCAAGCATGCAGGGTGCAATCTGGCAGGTCAGTAGACGTCTTTCATGCACAATGCATCGTTGGATTTGGTACTTTCTTACCTAAAGCTCCAAAGCCACGTTCCAGCTTGTCGAAATGTCAGCAACTCCTCTGCAAGAGGTGGCGCTGACCAAGGAGCAATTGATTCTGTGCAGAGTGCTTTGCTCATTTCTCCAGGGTATTGTCGACCAGTGTGCCCTGAATCCATGGCAGTATTGTGTAGGTCTTGATGACTGTTGCCACTTTAGTCTAACAGTCCGTAAGTTTTCTCATTCATCCACCGGATGTGTTGTTGACTCCTTGTGGGGATCAAAATTTGGTCAAAAGCTGACACAGCACTGCTCGTGCGTAGTCATTGGTGCAACGCAGAGAAGCACTGCAGCAGTGCACGTGCAGCAAGTTTGACAATCGTCGATGTGGATATCAGCAGTGCTTGAAGGTTGATACATGGGCCCTGTGGTAGCGTTGCTCACCATTGCAGCGAAGATAATGCACGAGCTGTGTTCCATAAACTTCTTGGTAGTTTCAGATTGGTGACGCTGTTTTTTTTTGCATAAGCACCCTCCACGGACTTGTGATTTGGTCAACACAGTTGCCTGAAGTTGGTTTTGAACTGATGGGAACTTTGCAGGCACGAAGTAAATCTGTCGCATGGCGCTCTGCAGGTTTCGTGCTTGTGAAGAAGGTGCCAGGTACCCTTCATTTCCTGGCCAAGTCTTCTGGCCACCACTCGTTTGACAATGAGCAGATGAACATGACTCACCACATTCACCATTTCTACTTCGGTTCAAGACCATCTCCATACCGGTACAAGTTCCTCCAAAAGCTGCATCCGCTGGGACTTCAGAAAGACTGGGCAGACAAGTTGCAGGATGACAATTTTTTCTCTGTGAATCCCCTCACGACACACGAACACGCCCTGCAGGTAATCGAAGCATGCTGAACCTTACACCAGCAATAGCTTGGCATGACTCCACGAACTGGTTTGCATAGGGGGCATGCCACCAAGTTGTCACTTTGCACCAATATCTCCACTGTGGCTCAATCGCATCTCCCCTTGTGTGCAGCAATCTGAAAGTACCACCGATTACTGATTAGGGACCCACGTTCATCAGGTAGCCTGCGTATTTGTAAGCCGTCTTAAAAGGATGGAACGTGTGTGATGCTGAAATTCACGGTCTGAATATATGCAGGCAGTACTGACCACCATTGAGGCGGGGTCAGGGTCCACCTACACCAACTATGATGCTTACGAATACACCGTCCACAGCCATGCCTATGTTGACGACACGGATGCGATACCGGCGTCCAAGTTCTCGTACAGCCTGTCGCCCATACAGATAGTCGTCAGGGAAACTCAGAAACACTGGTACAGGTTCCTCACGTCGACCTGTGCCATCGTTGGAGGGGTGTTCACTGTGGCGGGCATCCTTGATTCAGTGGTGTACCAAGGGGTGCAGCTCGCAAAGAAGGCTGAGATCGGGAAGCTGAGTTGAAAGCCACCTGAAATTGATCTTTCTTCCATGTGGCACCCCCGGGCTGTTCCCTTGAACACACCCTTGTGTCCTGATTATTGCACAACCGCCATGGCACTTGAGCGATGTGGGATGGAATTTGCGCTTATCGAATTGGTGCGTCGGTGGAAATCGATTTGGGGAGCGGCATGTAGCTAAGCGGAGGAGAATGTGGAAAGGATTGAATTGCGAAGGGGTTGGACTTGGTGCAGGTCGCAAGGGCCGTGGCGATGAGCGCATGCGATGTCGCAATATTCATGCAAGCAATTGATGCGTTGCAGGCGTGAGAATGATGTGTTTATGTTGGGCCCTGGCGACTCCACAGCTCTCCCAGCCACAAGGCTAAGAGAATGCCAATTGAGAGAATCAAGAGAATTGCCTTGGCATTAGGACAGGCTCATCCATTAGGCGAGTGGGGACCAACTACTGGACAGCTTGTGCATGGTCGTGTGGTGGCTACATTGCACCAAATTCGTTTCTATGACAAAGGATGTTTCATACAATTCCCTCAGATGGCATGGGGGCGACAAGCCCTGCAATGTCCAACTGTGCTCACCATCCATTAAGAGTTTAGGGAAGACACTAAGTCGATTTTGGTACGCTTAGCGTCAATTTGACATTGAGCTCAGACTCCCCCAGCATCAATCCTTATGTCGATACAAGTACTCAGCAACGTTGCTGGACGGTGGTATGCAACTTTTAAGTGGTTTTCAGGACAAAAACAATCAAAATTGCGCTGCTTTCAGTGGTTGAAGAATAGAATTCTAAATGCCATTATAGGCGAGGCGGGCAGCCTCAATGGCTGCAAATTGATGCATTCTAAGCCATTCTAAGGCCTTCTTTGACGATCGAACATTTGCAGGAGGTTTAGGAAGGAATAATGGGGTGTTTCCTGCCTATCAGTGGCGTTTTGGGGCACCTTCTTTCCTTATGTCGATTTGTGGCAATTACATAATCTCTTAGCGTCACACTTCAGCGCCGGCCCCCCCCCTCGGAGCGTACCAAAATCGACATAGTGTCTTCCCTCATTAGAAAGCAAGGGACGCAGTGTCTTGGCACCGGCTTCATCTGACCCTGCCAGTTGTCTGCTGATCATTATCCGCTCATGCTCGCCGCATTTGTCCATTGCTTCATCAGGGATTTGCACATGACAGTCGATGTGCCATGTCGTTCTTTGTCGGGCATGGCCATGCTCAACGGCGGCAGCAATGCAGATAGACCACTGCTCATGGTGCGCCCAAGTAATGGGCAGTCAGTCGCCGAAGGCATCCTTTCATCAGTTCACGTATAAACCGCTGGAGAACAGTTGACGGCTGTGCACCACTTCAAACAACGGCTCCAGACAGCACGCTCAAGAGTCTCTGACTGTCGAGACCCTTGCTGCGCCGCGACCATCACAGCAGCATGCATGCAGTTGGTTTCCTTACTTGAACACATCAGCCCACACCAGCAAGATGTCGTTTCTGAGACATGCAGTTCCGAAATAAAGTGAGACGGTCTGGAAACACAATCCATGCACCTCAGCATCTTTCCCCATCCTGCACAGGATATCCAGGGCACATCCTGCACAGCCTTCAGCTCTGCGACAGAACTCATCTCACTGTCCCAAATGGCTTCACCACAGTATCCAAGCCGCCCTGTGGGCGCAAGGCTCTCAAACAGCATTGACAAGAATCGCCCGATGGGAAAAGCGAGCGGATGCAGCTAGAATGGCTGACACCACCTTCTAGCACCATAAATCGCTTGGTGTTGAGCCTGGGACAATCATCCACATTCAGTGGATCGGCGGACGGCTGTTTTGTGCTGAAATGCTGCGTCGCACTGTTAGGCAATGCTCCTGGGGCATACTGGGGTGGACGCAAGGATTGACGCTAGGAGAGTGCAAGAAAGGGAGTGGGGTTTAAGCATGAGATAGAGCATAGCGTCCACCTGACGTCCAGGGCAGCACAATCGACACAGTGGCAACCTTAGTGTTCAGCAAAGTCTGCACTCAACACCACTGCGGCATTCCCACGTTTGACAGAAGATGCATGCAACCAGCAAGCAGCTGCCCAACACAAGAAACATTGCTCGGCTGCGGCCACGCTGCGAATTTTAGATTCTGACAATGACAAACTCGTCGATGGCTTCTGAGGTGCCATTTGTTCACCCCTCTCCATGTTTGCATGCTGTGCTTAGGTCGAACTTGCGAGGTCCACTGGTGTGTCAAACTGGGAGACTCACGAGCTCAGAATGTGCAACGACCCCGCCAACCATGTGCTATAAATTACTGGTGGGCCGTGCAGCTTTACACTGCTGACCGGCATCCCCAGCATTGGCCCATACCCTCTGCGTCAGACTCATTCGTCAAAGTACTGCCCTCTAATGCCTTGGTCTGAAACCATCCGTTCATGCACAGCCGCCCTGAGTATCTGGCTTGCACTGCTATAGATCACAACATGAAAGAAGCCCAATGTCACGGAGATTTGAAATGCTGACCAGTCCCAGTCATGGCCCGGCCTCGCCGTCAGTGGATGGCGTCCCCAGAGCAATCCAAATTGAGCCACAACCTGCCAAGCTCAGTATACAATTCATTTGAGTCTGTGGAGCCAATTTGAGATTCGGCAACCAAGATTGTAGGGGCTCTAGTCAAAGTCGGCAAAGTGTGGGACGAAACTGTATTAGTGACTTCGATCTCCCAATGTGGAAGTTCCCCATTGTGCACTCATGCCTTCTGTACCCACCATACTTAAGCATGTTCGCCCAGGCTCGCATGCCTGCTTCGCAACATCCTGTGGCAACACAGCAGTTCTGTGTCGACCATCTTCTGAAGGCTATGGAACGAATTCAGCTTCAAGGCGTCAACCTTTGCGATTTGACAACAGCAGCAGCAGCATATTGGAACTTGACACGCTCTTTCATGATGAACACCCACATCAAACACTGCCACCACAGGGGAACTGCCTCCTATCAGCAGACCACCATGTTGCACCATTCAATTGCAGCTGCCTCTGCCTGGCACCCGAAGAAGCCACCTGCAATTGCACTAATGCAAATGTGTTGCGATCTCGCTCTGTCCCTCGAAATCGTCTTTGTACGGCTTCTCCTGGCCTTTGGGTGTCTTTCCATTTGCCCCCACCAGCCCGTGGGTAGCCTGGACGGCTTCTTGGGATTCACCGGTGACATAGAACTGGAGGTTCCTTTTCGCCAGACCTTGAATGGGACGTGCGCCCAAAGTCACTGCCGTGGTGCCAGGCAGCCGTGTTGCAATGGACCAGTCTGCCTGCAGTTGCAAATGCAAATTGCATTAGTGATGTCTCATTCCAAAGCAGCTTCACCTCATCAGTACAAAATCTAACACACTGCCTCTGTCCACTGATGATACCAAGTTTTGACGGCTCGGACCATGGCTTCTGGTATTGCTGTAGGCAGCCACTGTTGGTTGGATACTGTCATGGTACTTGTTCCATCCAAAACCAAAACGACACTTATGAACTATGGCCTCAGTGCACTTGTCGGAAGATCTTGAACTGCTCCTGAACTTACTCAAGCATGGCTCTGCTCAGAGATCAAATTTACAGTTACATCACTTAGCTCTTCCATTTCCTGAGACTGATTCGTCTCCGACCCGTATTGAACTGTATGTCTTGATCTTAAAGCAAGCCACATGCCAAACAGCAGCACAACAGAACAGGAATACGCCTGGCAGCGTGGCGTTGTGCTCATCCCAGCACGCTTGTGAGGGAAAATGTATGTCGGCCACTAGAATTGAATGATGGGCAACTGTCGTACAGGCTGCTGTACAACTGAAACAAAAGGTTATTAAAGTTCAGACTCAGCACCCTAATGGTTTCAAGCATGCCTTGAAGATTTCTTTGGCTCCACACATTCAGTGGAAATGCTCTGGTGGCACCAGGTAAATTGTGCAGGCTGGCAGTAGTCTCTCTGGCAACCTACTCCCGGGCTGAAAACTTGATAAACATTCATGTTTGATTAATGTACCATCAGTAATATGGCCAAGGCCACAATTCACAATCCTTGCGCCATCTCAGAAGCCGGCACTCTGGCAATTTGTTACTTCTATGATGTGAGCTGCTACTGCCACAACATCTGCCATGAACCATGCTAGTGATACCATTAATGCTGCAGCACTGCAGCGATGCTGGTTGTTGTACAAACTGGCAAAGCTGGCAGCCCAAGGAGCAAGGACTGGGCGCACAACTAATCACATGCCAGGAGAGAAGAGATGCTTCTTGGCACGAATGCTGAGTGCAACCAATATAAAGGATGGCATCATGCGAAGGGCAAAGTGTTCACCTGAAGGGCTTGGAAGGTTGGTACTGCTGGCAAGTAGGGCAGCCTTAGGTTGACTGGAGCATGAAGAGCACCCAAAGCTAAAACAGCAGCAAGCACGATGGGGAGGGTCTGCTTGACACAACCAACAAACATCTGTAGATATGACACACAGTGGCTTAAATCTACAGTGCCAGGATTTTGAATTGTGACTAATCAGCAGCACCGAACCTCAGACAATCCTGTGCACTGCTCACATCAACAAGTGGTTGTCCCCACAGGGAATTCATTCCCTGTCGATTATTCTATGTTCCACAGAATATACAGATAGACTTTTCTGAGCTTCCAATTTCCTTTTCATCAGCATTAAAATGTGAATCGACATAATAATGTGGTCACCTGGATTGCCTCTCAACAATAGGATGCTCCCCTCTCCTCTTCTTTCACAGCCACAAGCAGTGAAACACTCCACTAAGAGGTACACATTGGTCACCAGATTTCCATTCGACTCTGATCTTATGCCAAGTTCCACATCAGATAATCGCAGTCAGCATGGAAGACTCTGACAGCTGCAACAGTTGGTGTGTTCTGGCAACAAAACTACACCTGCCACAGAGCTTCTCTGCCTTCCCCGACAACCCTAGCTGTGGTGTCAATGACACTGTCTAAAACCACTGTAGCTGTTGTTGGCTGGCACTGCAGCGTGGAGGCCTGCAGCACAGGCTGCATTGAGGGCACCAGGGCCACGCAAGCTGCCAACACCTCAGAAAGGGTGAACTCAGATGGAGGCAGGGTGGCCGCTTGTGCTAGGCACAATGGATGTTCTGCACTTGACTCGACTGTGCGTCCCTTGTGATGCTTTGTCTGCAACCCTGCATTCAAGCAGCACCAGTCACTGCATATTAACTGTTCCTTTTGCCACATTCCTAGATGTCCTACATTGCTTGATTGGTGAAAAGGGAGTGCTTTGTCACATCGTCAACAGATGCTGTGGCTGCAACAACAAAACAGTGCCACATTTCATCGAAGATTGCGTGGGAGATATACACGATCGTGAATAGTCCAATGGCAAAAAACGGAAGTCGTCAGGTGGTAAAGCTTGAGGTTGGCTTTGTGGCAAGTTCTTTGGCTGCCTGTTCCTGCGCTTGCGGTGTGCATTGAATGATTGGAGGGAAGGATACTAGCACGATGTCACGGCAGTCATTTACAATTCCTTGGCACATTTTCCATCTTGTAATTTTGGCGCTGTCACAAGAAAGGAATGAAGAAATGAGACAGTGAAGGTAATCATAAACACAACTGGATGAGTGAACACTGTGGATTCATATCCAAGCCGATTGCAACCTCACCAAACATCTCCCTGGTGTCATTGATGCAGGAAGAGGAAAGAACCACAAACAATAAAGGAAGTGCAGCAGCCAGACAGAAGAAAAGGTGACCATATTCAGTGCAAAAATGCCATGCTTACAATGCGAGCCCCATGCTCGTAGCTCAAGTATGCAATTGACGTTAATAGACTGCAACAATATCATAAATCGCCAATATCCATTGTTTGCTGCCAGACGATTGGATCTGCAGAGATGCAAGTTTAATGAAGATTACGAAGTTCATGCACACATAATGATCCCTCCCATGGATTGAGCCTTTGAGCTCTGCAGATATTGCAAAAACAAACACTGCGCTGCACAATCCCCTGCTCCCTTTGAATCATGTGGCTTGCTACCCACTACTTGACTTTGCAGCGTGCAGCCACAGACAAGCGATGCTGAGCCACGTCCATGCGATTCGTTCAGCTAAGTTCAGTATTTAACACACTGCCACATGGTTGCATTGCTGCTGGGTTTGCAGCTGTTCATTCCATGCCACAAGGCCAAGACGCCGCACAAAGTACATATTCAGAGGTACATGTGCAACCCAAACAACATTGGATAAGTGCTGGTTTGTATCAATTGCACCACTCATGGTGTGGCAAATGTCACAAAAGGGTGGATAAGTAACAGAGTTTCAGATCAGCCACTGCTTGTCGCACAACTGCATTGCTTTGCTGTTAGGCTTCTGGCCTAAAGCGGTCTGTGCCAATCAGCCACGAACGGACGGGCAAGATCAACGTCCTCGGGCGCTCAGTTTATCGGGCTGGTTGATGGGTTGCTTAAACTGAACCCAGGAGTCCGCATTTCACCACATACACGTCCTATGTTCGTTGTCCATGCCTGTCTGTCCAATTACAGGCCATAGCCCATCGGGCTAAAGCCACTGTCGCGGGTTGCACGCAAACAGGACGCAAGTTCCAAGCAAGAAAGACCCAATGCGATCGTGTGACGAGATCCCATTGGTTCTCTTCGCGCGCACTGCCAGTACTACGTGGCAAGCGGCGAAAGTGGTGCTATGTGGTGGCGCGAAACCTTGCAGCGGCGAACCCAAACGCGCCCCCTGCCGCTCAGTATGTGCTAGATCGTACTGAATTGCTCGGCATGTATCAACTCGACTGGCAGGTAAACGCGCCCGGGCATGAACGGGAACAGCCTGCGCCGTTCCCCGCCATCACCTTCAAAGCCCACAGGCGGCGCGGGCGGGCGTTGTCTTTCATAGGCGTTGTCATGGTCAACTTTACGCCAACTCAGTCCCAAGCCCCCGCCTTGCGCGGGCTTTCCCGTGGCTACCTTTTTGCACTCCCTTGCTCATGTTCGTCGTGCATGGGCGTGCGCCCTCTCCGGTCATCACCGCCGCCAGGCCCCCCGCTACGGCCAGGGAGCCGGCAGCGCGGGACACACAGAGGCTCATGCCATTGCCCAACGCGGCCACCATTGGCCTCTGCGGAGAGGAAACAGAAGGCAGGAGCGCCCAGAGGGGGCTGGCCCCAGGTTTAGGATGGGCGGGCCAGTGATGGGCGGGCCCCACCGGCGCTGGGGGCTTCGGAGTCCTCTGGGTGCAGACGACACAGAGTTGTGTCCTGCGCTGCTCCCAGGGTTGCAGGCGGACACAGGAGTCCGGGGGGTTCCGAGTTGGGAGTCCTGCCGCATCAAAAAGCACAACTTCGGGGAATTGCACACAAAAGCACTGCTTCCAAATCATGCCCGAAAATAGCGGCTCGAACAGCCCGAAGATAACAACAACTGGATACATTGTCTGGCTGAACACACGGCAAGGTGGCCAGATTCAGGCACCGTCTAGCAAGGCAGTTGCAAACTGGCCTGAATTCGGAGCATGGAGTTCGTGCAGTGAGCCCTTTCCTGTGTAAGCGAGTCGAGATTGTAGCCTTTCAGCCATATCCGAACAGCTTGGTGCTTTGAGCGAGAATCAATTTAAACTTGCCGGAACCCCCACCGCACATTGTTGAGCACATTGTTGAGCACGCACCACCTTCCAATTGCAAACATTATTTTGCAACCAAAGTGGCACCACACTTATTCGTAATGGCAGGCATGGAACAAACACATCTGTTGTTGTGTGGGTGAACACAATCTGCAAATCGGCTTTCATGTTGCGCATCACGATTCACGACGCCTGTGTTTGTTGATACATTCCCGAGTGACTCAGATGCCCAACAACATTTGGCCAAATAGGGCTTAATTTGGACAAACTAGTTGGCGGAAGGTTTAAAAACGAAAACAGATCCGGCGCCATCTGGCATGTCCCTACGAAGGAAACACTGATTGTGGAGTTTTCATGGGAACCAGACCAGTAACGCAATGAATAGTCAGACCAGCGGGAAGTGTGCAAGGGAGGGCGACGACGAGGCGCTCGCCGAGCTGAGCAAATGCCTGCCTACGCGGGTGACTCCTGCGTCTCGCACATCCACATCGTGGTGGCTAGCCCGGTGCTCAGCAACTGGGTCACACCCCAGGTCAGACGCGCGAACGAACAGGGCGCAGAAATTCGGGCGCCCCTTCTTCGGGGTGGGCTACGTTGAGCCATTACTGTGTACATGGCGCTCCGGGGTGCGGCCATCAAAATAGAGTGAGTTGCAGCGCTGAGATCCTCTGGCACCACAGCCCCATTGCGGTTGGGTTGGCGCCCATGCTGCGAGCCCTCTTCGCGTTGCTCGCCCTCTGGGCCGCGGTGGCAGGCGCGTGGGGCCAGACCCCCGAGGAAGAAAACATAGGTGTGGGTGGTGGGGGTGGTGCTGGTGCCTCCACGGGCCTCGGGATGGCGTCCCTCGCGTTTGGCGCACCCGCTGCCGCGCTCCCGTCAAGGGGCTCCGTCTCTTGCACAAACGCACGGGCGGGTGGGGAGTGGATTGCTCCGCAACTGGTGCTGTGGATGTCGCGCATGGCCGTCGGCGGTGGTCGGGGTAACAGGAGGCGTCCGCCGAGAGAGCGGGTGGGCTGCGCGGGACACAAATGACTTCGGAGGTTTCGTGGCTCGCGGCGATTTGCCGCGAACATCGAGTGCGCTTGGCGACGGGAGGCGATGCGCCGCGAAGGGCCGCGAAGTCGTGATTCGGGAAGATTTTAGCGACGGCAAGCACCAGTCTGGGTGTGTTACGTTCCTGGGCCTCCTGTGGGCGAGCTGCACTGCGTGGGGCCCGTGTTTGTGTGATCTGCCTCTGGGGTTCATACCGCAAGAGTACTGCCGGTAGTGCTGACGTCGGCGCTGGTGTCGTCGAGTGCTGCTCGGTGCTCTCGAAGAGGGTCACTCTGCCAGGGGCTGTTTTCCGCGGTGGCAAGCTTCTTACCTGGGACCCCTGCCCAGTTGTGGGCACGTCTGAGCACTGCCCGCGTGAACCCGTTGAGGCGGACAATCTGATAGCCGCTGCCTTGAACTGCGCCCAGGAAGAAACGACACGGGACAAAATAAAACAACACGGGACGTTGGAGCAAGAATATCGGTGCGTTGGATGTGAAGTGCCTTTGAACACCCTATGAGGGGCAGATGTAGCTTCGCTTTTCTGCTATTGTCGGAATCTGTCTGCTGCCCTGTTGTTCATGTTTGTCCTTGCCCTTGCGCTGTTGCCACCTTCAGCCATTGCAGTGCAAAGGGGTGCCCCTCACCCGTTTTTGCGTTGTTGTAGGGGTTTGTTGCACATTGGTTGTGAGTAATTCAATTTGGGAATACTTTGCCTTGATGCAGAGACATGTGACATGACCGCTGTGTGCCGGGATGCTGTCTGCAAGGATAATTCAGCCCTACATTCTATGTACTGTTACCACTGTACTTGAGGACACATGTTCTTAAGCACTCCCACCACCCTGGCTGTCCACTCCCCTCTCACCATTGACTTATACATCCCTTTTGCAGGGTGGCAGCCCTGCACCAGAGGGTCGCTTCCCATACATCGTATCCCTCAGGAATGCGTTTGGCGATCATGCTTGCGCTGGTGTGTTGATACACCCTAGGTGGGTGGCCACAGCGGCACACTGTGTGGACACTCGGAGAGGCTTTCCTTCAGCAATAAGGACCCCCTTCACAGTGTACATCGGTGGATTAATGATTGATGAATACGAAGAGGTATGAAATCGGTGCGGGAATTGAAAGGAAGGATACGAGGAGTCTCTCGTTTGGTGGAGGCAGTTCCCTGTTTGCTGGTTCTGTAGCATTCCTTGTTGATTTCGTCTATGAAAATAGTGCACATCACTGCCCTTCCACTTGCGAGTCGTTGTTGGGCGCTGCTCACTAGCACCGGTTCTGGACCCTGGCAGGCGTGTTGCGTTTGCTGCTGTTCTTCATCTGGCTGAACTCTGAAGAGGCCTAGTGCATCAAAATGACATTGATAGTTGCCAAATTTTCGTCCTGAACTCAGGATGTCCTGCTTTCTCTGAACACAAGTGTCAGCTCATGGCACAAGTGGCAGTTGGGAACAGCACCATGTGGATGTTGTAGAGAGCAGCCCTGCAGCAGTGTCAGTAAAGGATCATCCGCCAATGAAGCTTGATAAGAGTTTTGGGATATGTTGATATATCAAAACTTATGGTGTTGTACGGTTGTTGGTGATGAAGAACTGTGAAGGATATTGAATGCTTGTCATCATCCTGTGATTGTTTTGTCCTTACCACGTGTTTTCCTGCCTGTATGGTCCACCTAATCACAGCTATGATAGAAATATAGACTGTTTTAATCAACGTATGTCGAAACAGTTGTGGGTGTCTCCTCACTCTTGGCCAACCCAGTGCCTCCCCTCAATTTCAAGAGAGAAAGCAGACCTCTTCCATCTGAAGCCACCTCCCTATCATTTTTCCCAGCCCAGATTCTCGACAGTGTTCTCCTTGTGTGTTGGTTCCTGTAAGCTGCAGAACGGACAGCTGTAGAATTAACAGTGTGCTGAAAGGCAGTTGTGCTGAGACACCAAACACAGAAGTGTAGTTCTGTGGCTCTGATGTAGCTGCAGCTGAAGTGAACGGGATAATGGAGGCACTATAACGTGCTGGTGGTTTCACCACAACCAACTGGGTGGACAGTTCCTGGCTGGTATAACGATTTTCTTCCTGTGCTGTCTTTGCGCACATTGGGAACGGAGTTCTTCAGCTGTTTCTCTCCTGTGATTTGTTGAGTCTAAGGCACAACAGATGTGGAAGAATTTTAGGCATGTGGTATGCCATCTGCTGATGGCTTGCTGAGGAATATTATGATCAGAGCAACTCCACGCATAGTGGAGTTGGTATGGCCAGGCAAAGGGGAACACATTCTGCATCATGCAAGGGTTGTAGTGATGTAGAAGCAGTGCAGTTTATCCATATAGCTTCCAGAGCACATTTTGTCATATAAACCTGCCAGGCTGACAATCATGGTTTTTCTGCAGATGACTATTGCATCAACTAGCATTTACCATAGTTTCTGGAGCGGGGACCCAGGACGAGGCTTCGACTTCGCCCTTGTAAAGCTCCCATCCAACTCCAGTCAGCAGCCAATCAAACTCATTTCAGATGACGTGGATCTGGACCAAGAGGCGCCACTGATGCTGGCGGGCTGGGGCCGGATCCAGGGGAGTGGACCATTTGCCCTGACTTTGCAGGTGGCGGAAGATTTGCCATTCATTTCAAAGGAAAATTGCGAGCAGACCCCAATAGGAAGTGCAGCTGAGGACTTGCTTTGTGTTGGCGTTGGGAAGGCTGGCTCGTGTTCTGGTAAGTTGAAAATTGCACTTATAGTCTCCTTACTTTTGTGTTCAGTCTTCCATCCCCTCCATCGAGTTTGATGCTCAGCCACCACACAGGTGCATCATGGTCAGTTGCGCATTTCACTGCCCTTCAGGAGACCATGTATACCATGCGTTGCAAGTGATAGATAGAAGTGAAGGTTGTGCTTGTTGGTGAGTTGCTTCAGCGGACAGTGCTGACAATGCAGAGCATGTTGCATTGACTAAGAGTGCGTGGGCACACATAGTGTTTGTGTATGTACCATATTGCTCATGGTGTTCATGCGATTGTCCTTATTTGACAAGCGGTGGGTTATTGCTACGCAAGCAGCTTGTGAACACGAGGCAACAGGGCCTGGAGTAGCCAGAACAATTAAGGTCTTTTGCTTGTCATGCCAGTTGCATGTTACCTGTCTCAACAGTGCACCTGTGCTTGTGGAATACATTAAATTGGTTGCCAAAAGGACATATTTTTCAGGGCTTCAAAGCAAATCGCGATTCCTTGGAGTTTATGGAATCGCCCACGCCAACAGGCTATTTGTTATTTGTTCTGCAATGGCAGTCAAATCCTGTATTGCTGTGTGCGCTAATGTCTCCACTTTTTCAAAAGTGCTGTGCGAAACACGGTGAAGCAGTTATCAGGCTGAAGGTTTAATGCAGATCATTGCATGTTGTGTTTCCTTCCGGTTATGCTTTAAGGGTAAAGAATCATCATGTGCAGTACTGAAAAGAGGACCGCAGAAAACTTGGCCACAGCATGTCTCCCTTCGCTAGACAGGCGTCCTCACCATGACGGCAGTGCTTTGGTATTTTCAGGTGACCAAGGTGGCCCCTGCATTCGACCAAACACAACGGATCCCGATAACCCTGCTCAGGACGAGCTAGTGGGAATCGTGACATCGATACCGTCTGCGTCTTGTGCGCAATTGGGCCTTCCATCCGTCTGCACGAGCATCCAAAGAGTGAATCTCTTCATCGAACAAAATATCGATGATCTAGGCACTTGACGATGGCTTGACGTCGATGGGCACGAAATCAAGGCTGCGGAATTTCAGGGCGGTCGTGTGGGCGATTTGCGGCTGGGTAGTTGGCTGCCAGGCGTTGCTGATATGCCAATGACAGGCGAAGGGATTATTGAAGTCACTACATGATTTTCAGAATCGCTTGGATGTGTGGTGGGGTTGGGGATTGGGGAGGAGAGCTGTGCAAGAGTGGTAGCAGGTGGAGCCAAGGGCTCGTCCTTGCTGTGGCTGTGGCAACATGGGAGGAATGGCTGTGATGTGTCAGTGGCCAGGTGGCGGTGCGTGGGGTTTGCCGGCGCTGGCCACTCCTGGTCGACTCCGAAGCCGCAGGATGCCTGTCTGTGCTGTGGTGTTAGAGGGGTGCGAAGGATGCAACAGTGGGTTGCCACGGCAGGGACGGGGGCTGCTCGGTTATGGCGAGCAGGGGAGCCCGTCAAGGTGGCATTCTTGTCAGCAAGTCGTGCGATTATGAGGGGACGGTTACTGCAGAAGGCAGTTCGGTTTGCGTGAGAGAAGAAGAGTATGAAAGGGCCTGCCGTGGACCGGCTGCTTTATCTCACTGCTGTTGGGAAGCTTGGACACCCTGACATCCAAAGCTGTAGAATAGGGGTCAGAATTTTTGTAGAATTTTTTGAAATAACCTGCAGCAGACTTTGCCTGAGACTTGCGGGCTCAGTCATCAAATGGCCGTTCTGCAATATGCCACCAGGGACGGCGCCGAACGCCATTCTACGCCAGTATCTTGTACTTCAGCTGCGGCCCTGATGCCGACGTGTGTCTTGGGCAGAGTTCAAGAGACCAGGCTGCCGCTGCACTTTTCATCGTTTTGCATGTATGTGGTGTACAGCCAACATCACCACCAAACAGTCCTGCACGTTTCATGTAGGAAGAGGCCCCCGTTGATGAGCAACGCGACAGGGCTGCTACAGTATATCTGCCATAGATGTCTCCTTCACCTCTTCGAGCCCTCAAACTTGCAACTTTTCTGAACACCTGTCCAATTGCCTCCCGACGCCCAGTCCCTCGTTGTTGGGTCGCCACAGCAGCTGTGAGGACTCACGGAAAGTCCTCAAGAAAGCGAGCCTGCATTCGGTGGCTGCCCATCACTCGGAAGTACTTTGCGAGTCCCCTGAGCCCCTCCAGCGCCCTTTGCACTCGGGGTTCCTCCACGGAGCCCTCAAAGTTGGCGTAGAACAGGTACTTCCAGTCCAGCCCCTCGGCCTCGCCGGGGCTCAGCTCCCTGGAGTCCAGCCAAACGAGGTTAATGTCTTCCTTCGTGAAGCAGTCGAGCGCCACCAGCAGCGCCCCAGGCTGGTCGTCCACAGGAAGGGCAAACAGGATGGAAGTCTTGCACCTGCGGTTAGGCGGACACACAGCAGGCACATGTCCTCAGCAGCTATACTTTCTCAACAGCTCACCACAGTGCAACGCTTTGCAAAAATTCTTGCAGGCAAGGTGAGGAACAGCAGGATGGGAGCGCCCATAAAAACAGCATCCGAGGCTGCAAAACGCGAGCAAGGCTAGTCATGCATTGCAAGTACGACAGACGTAAAGGGAAAAGTCATGAGTAACGACAGCAGACCTGGCACTGAGTGCCTCTCATGCTCATGAGATGCGACACAGCTGGCGCACAGCAGCAGGGCATGAGTGGCACCCTGGATGTCTCCACTGCACAGAACACCAACAACGGGTGACACGTCATAGAGCAGTGCTCTGGCATGCTTTGGCAAATGCAAACAAAGGGGACTCATGCTACACGCCAAACCATGACAGACATTGTCGCTGAAGTACATACTTGGCAGGATCGACGCCTTCAAGTGCCGCAGGCTCCCTTGCAAGTACAACAAATCGGGTTGGGTTGTTCTCTAGGTCCTGGAGATTCTCATCCAAAACCGACAGCTGGTAAAGGTCAGCACAGCGGCGCGATGCGATGACTGCTGTGTTGGGTGGACGGTAGATCGCCAACTGTCTGGCGGCCTCCGCAGTGTCTGGTAGCTCCATGACGCCTGCTGTAGGGAACTGCTCCCTTATGTAGCGCTCGCACTGAACAAGGGCCTGATTGAAATGGTGCAAAGGCACAGTTTGTCAACACTGCCTTTTTCTCACAGCGCCCTGGAAACTTTTAAAATCTGGTGCAGAGTGTGTCTGAATCGAGGAAAGCTGAGCCCTGGGTCGGTCTTGTGGTCTGCGTGCCTCCCAACGATGGAAACTGTTGCTGGAAGCTGGCAAGCAAAAGGCCTAAAGTGTTTAGCAACCCAACAGTCTATCCAGCAGACTTGGGAGTACACACAGTGACGACACAATTCTCAAGTTGTAAGGTCATCAAAACGTCTGAAGCACAACAGAGGCAGATTGTTACACGAAATCGCCAGAGCCCTTGCCAAACTTCCTGTTCGCGATTCAACCAATAGCAATGCAGCGTTGTCAAGCAGGTCAAGTTCATGGAGCCACCCAACAGGGTCAACCACACATGAAGAGTCATTCACTCAATTACAGTTGTCTACAGGCAATTAAGGCATTGAAGTCGCATGTTCAGCTCGATTACTGCATCCAAGGTTTCAAGGAGGGTGATCTCACCTGAGGGTGACTCACGATCCGGTTGATGTCTTCTTTCTTGGACCCCGGCAATCCAAGAAGCATGTGGCAGATGTTCAAGTAAACCTCATCAACAATATGCAAATCGTACTTTACAAGCACCTCATAGAGAATGCGAATTCTTTTTGTGTAAAAGTTCTCAATTGGTACCACCGCTTTCTCTGAGTCCCCCAACACAACGGCCTGAAGAAACAAAGCATGGCAGTCAGCAGGCGCACTGGTGAAAAGCAGTGACGCTGCCACTGCTGTGACAGTGGAGTGGTCACTGGCACCGAGGACAATACACTCCGACACAACTCTAAACACAGTCTTGTTTCCCTGATGAGAAAGCCAGACCTCAACACACAGAACAGAACACGACGAAGAACCAAACCTGGCACTATCAGAAGGCCATAAGCAGTTCAGTCACTGGCAGGAGGCTGTCATACAAGAAAATTGGACTGGTCGAGTTACAAGGAATGTAGCTGCCAGCGATGACGGTGGCATCCATCAGTCATTTACAAACAGTACGATCAGTTGCTTGTGTGAGATCCCACCAACCACAATTCAAAAAAAGACAAACTACTGCCCTTTCAGTTGTTGGGCAAATTGACCACCGTTTACAAGTGCACGTGTTGGCTTGTGGGTGCATTTTTTCCTGCTCTAGCAATCTGTCGTTTCTATTGTGCAAATTGCCTGGGAGTACACCAAGCACTGCTGAGCACTTGCAGTTCTCTTCACATCGAACACACCCAGCCGCCTCGTGTGGTGGACAGGCAAAACTGCAACATCATGAATGGGTACTCAAGTAACATATAAATGTAGAAACTGCAAACTGGGAGGTGCAAAAGCTATTTTGGCAAATGCATGCTGCATACCGCAACTGCTGCTCCCCATGACTTGGTACCAACTAATTCACATCCAGGGCATGCCTCCATTGCTGCAAGCTCAGAATATGCACCAGGCATCCCACAAAAGGACACCTGAAAAGTAGCAGGCACAGAAAAGAGGGGCTCAGCAGCAGATGATGCCTTTTCTGCAAGTACACATGCACAGGCAATCAAACACAAAAAAATATTGTCACTCAGATTCATGACTACCTGACAGCAACCCTGCTTTTCCATTTGAACAGGCATGAAGGTGCAAGCAAGGTGCACCAACACACAAAGCAGTGCGCAACACGTGGTCAAGACTTCTGAGCCACTGATCCCACAAAGCAATCCATACGAGCGCTTGGCAGGGTCATCAGGCCTGGCTGTCTATCGCACACATGACATTTGTGCGAAATAAAGCGGGTGAAAGGAATATAGTGCACATCGCCCTCGGATTCCGCAAGCGGAGCAGGCCCTCAATTTTCGCCCGTGATTCTCTCATCCCCCCAAAACACCTCTCTGGCCCGCCCTTTTACACACCACGCCCTCTCCAGGAGGGAATCACGGCCAAACGACCAGAGCAACGACGCCCTCTGCGGACCTAAAGCCTGACAGCAGCCGCTCAGACCCGCCACCGGCCAAGTGCCAGCTCTTGGCCATAGGTGGATGCGCATGTAGCTCTTTTTCAGGTCGTCAACCAGCCGCTTGGCACTGCTCTCACAGATGTGATGACTGAGCATTATCGGCAAGTTGGCCAGCAAAAGAGACGCACACGCGCAGCTTTCATGCCCCACGCGATGGACGACAGCGAAAATTGGTAGGAGCGATCCAGATCGCGGCGTCGGTGGGCCACCGTCCCGGTCGCCAGGCACCTTCCTCCTCCTGTTCTCCACCTCCTTGTCCACGTCCAGCCGCTCGTTCGACAGATAAATCCCATTGATGCTGCGGTCCAGGATGGCCGGGAAGATCTGGCTGGGCTCCACGTACAGGTCGCTGTTCGTGATCGTGAGCTTGTCGCTGACCATCGTGGGCAGGCCGCGCACGGCCGGCACCCTGCGCCGCGAGTTGCGACGCCTGCCGGCGCCGAGGAGCAGCCCCGCGGAGAGGGCGGCGCCACGCGTGGGCTCGCATTCCGCCACGCGGCCCGTGCACGACGGGAGGAGGTCGCTCGTCGCCAGGGGCATCCCGCAACGGCACGGGCCGCACGCCGAAGGGCCGGTGAGGTGCACCAAGGGTGGGCAGCCACTGCCCCGCTGGGCCCCGCGTCACCTCATCACTGGCCCACCACTGAGGTGCTGTTATTCCTGCTTTCCTTCTTCTTGTGATTTTTTCCTTTCGTCGTTTTTTACTCCGAAGTGAGAAGAATATACAAATTTGGCTTCCTTCGTTGAGTCTGACTCATTACGGCGTCCAGTTTCAGTCAGCCCGTCCAGTCGCCGGGAACCCGGCCAGTCACCGTCCTGTCAGCCGTCCCTGGGCAAGGGGAGGCGGCCATGCGCCCGGGCACCCCAAGCCTCGCCACTCTGTCGCCTTGCACCGATCGCCACAGGGCGGGAGATCTTCTTCCCAGGCCTCGCCTGGCCTGCCGCTCTACACCGCACCTGTTTTCGTCGCCCGTTCACCCTTCAGGGAGAACACAGCCTCTCGCGAGGTCTCAGCCGATCAACGATGCCAGTGGTGTCCGGCAGCCCGTCGCTCGGCCACCCGCCGGCCGACGGCCACGCGCAGGGCCAGCCCCCGCGCGGCTGGGACCAGAGGCCGCGGGTTTGCATCCTGGGGCGCGATCGGAGGCTGGTGGTGGCGCGCGGCACGGCGGCGCTGGCCGCGCGGGAGACGTTCCAAGGCGTCCGCGTTGGGTTCCAGGGCAAGCCCGGCGCGTACTCCGAGATCGCCTGCGAAAAGGCGTTCCCGGGGTGCGTGCCCGCCCCGTACAGGGTCTTCTCCGACGTCTTCAAGGTGCGCCCGCCCATGGGTCTGACCCCTGACATTGGGAAAGAGAAGTTGCTTCGTTGGATTTTGATGCGGCGCGCCTGTGGCGTCCCTGTCTCGTCGCAGTGGCTGCGCTGCAGCGCCTCTTGTGTAGATTGCGTTTGTGCTGAAAGGAGGCCATGTTGTCGATTGGACATTCCGTCCTACCGTGTTGCTTGAAGATCCTGTTCAAGAATAATGCGCGCTCTGTGAGTGCAACTACGACACGCAGCACCGCAGCAGGTGTAACAATCAAACACGCACTCAGCGCCCTTGCATGCTTCGTCGATGCAGGCCCTTTCCGAGGGAGAGGTAGACCAGGCGCTGCTGCCGATGGAAAATTCTACTGGGGGTTCAGTGCATGATGTGTACCTGCTGCTGCCAAAGTATGGTCTGCATGTAGTTGGGGAGTACTCTCTGGGCGTGGAGCACTGCCTTCTGACTCATCCCAGTACCGACGTCAGCAGCATCAAGAGAGTCTTCAGCCATTGGCAGGTACAGACTCTCATTGGCGAGAGTCACTGGAGGGTTGGGTAGGCCACCTACAAATTAGAATGCGGCCAACAATCTGGAACGTAACCTCTGTTGTTGACATAAGAATTACTTGCACGATTGTGAATCTGTTATGTACCAAGCAGCACGTAATTTTTGTATACCATGGTTGTGCACCAAGCTTAGGCTTCAACTCTCCTATGTAAAGAAGGTCGTTTAGTCATCTAATCTGCTGCAGTTGTGAGCAAAAGATAGGGTTCAAGTCTTCTGTGTGCAGTGATCTTTGTACATTCTTTCTATCATGGCTGTACCCCACAATTAGGTGGATCTTTCTTTCTCCAAGATCAGGTGCTGTGGTGGACTTGATGCTTTATAGCAACGCAATTTTGTGGCAATGCCGCACCCAGTGAGCGAGCCTTGAAGCTTGAATGGCTAGCTGATTGTGTCCTTCGGTCGATCTGACAGCATGAGTTGCTTGTGTAGGCACTGGCACAATGTGCCCAATATTGTGAAAGAATGGGTTATCAGATGGTGGAACATGATGACACTGCTGGAGCGGCGGCCATGATATCTGCAAATCAGCACAATGACGCAGCTGCGATTGCGAGTTCCAGGGCAGCTGAGATATACGAACTTGATGTCAAGGCAAAGGGAATTCAGGTGGGGCTTCATAGGTTGGCTTGATTATGCTGCAAGTTTGATATGTTTGACAGTCTAGCGCATCCCGGGTGCAGTTGCCTCACTGTTTTGTGAGGATCTGCTGGACACCATTGTTGCATCAGCACTGGCCGCTGTCCTGCCTAAGGCTCTCAGTTTGAGGTGTTGGGAACAGTGTTCCTGCCCATTATGAGCTGTGGCCTCAACCTCGTTCCTTCTGCCAACGCTAATAGTTTTATGCCTTTATTGATGGACTATAAGATGGGCAAGACACTCTTTACTTCCCTGAGGGGGTTGCACTGTTTGCTGGAGTCTCAGCCAACAATAGGTTATGGTTTACGTTTTTGTTTCTGATTCTGTTGTGGTTTCATGTTTCCAAGGGCGGTGTTGACAATGTAAATGTTAAGCCAAGCAGGCGAGTTGCATGGGTGGATTCAGCAAGATATGTGGAAACCAAAGTGCTGATGTCCTTTTTGCTTATACGCGATTGCTTGCTAGTCACAGGTGGACAACACAACAAGTCAAATGGACAGCAGTGCCTGTTCAGGCACTGCAAAGCAGCTGTGTGAATACCAGGTGTATGCAAATGCCCAGCACAGTCAGATTTTGACAGTGCCATGCATTTGCATAAGCCTGGTATTGCTTTTAAGTAAGAAAGACCTTGACTTTTAAGCATGCTACCGATAGGTTGTGCTCGACACATCAATCGTGCCAGACCAGCCAAATTGCAGTCTCACGTCAGAGGCGCACTGCACCTGTGATAGAGTGCCAGTGCCACACTTATTGAGAGACCGTTGCCCAGATCTGCTTTTGTTCTCAACAGGACAAGGAAGATAACTACACCCGCTTTGTGGGCCTGTCTAATGCGCCCTCAGCCCCTCCATGCCAAGATCCAAGCGAGTGCAAAACGACAATCGCTTTTGCATGCCGAGATGGCGCCGGTGGCCTGCAGGAGCTCCTGTCTCGCCTCCTGGCGTTGGGCATAAACTTGGAGAAGATTGAGCCCCAGGCGATGTTGAACGAGCCCCTGATCGACGCAGCTTCTGGTCGAAAATTCAACTATCTATTCGTTGCTGACTTCAAGGGAAGCATCGCGGAGCCCAAGTTTGATCAAGCATTCGAGCTGTTCGAAGAGTACACAGGATACTACAGAGTCTTCGGCAGCTACAGGAGACATGCTTTCTGAGCCTACAGGTTTGCAGGATCATTGGTTCTGTTTTTGGGTGTTTGACCAGCGTTTTATGCAGAGCTAGTGTTTTTTCAAAGTACATGAGAACAGAGATAGGCGGAAGTTTCAATTCATTTATTTGTTTTCTTCCCGGTGGCCCTTTGCAGTGGGGCTGATCGTTTTTCCTCCATGGGATTCAGCCTAGGTCGGCTGCCGCATTTGCTCACACTATGAGCTCTGTCGGAGCATGGCTGTCTGATGGAAAGCTTCGGCTCAATTCTGTTGACACAACCAACGCACAAGAAACGTTGCCGTGATGGGCGTTGTGTGCAGATAATTACGCAATGGTTTGCTCGATTTCTGTACTTCCTCTGCTTTGCTACGTCCCTTCAGGCGCAGTGGTTGGTGAGCCATGCCAATGCATGGTAACCACCTCTGTGCCGCCTCGCTGGACTGTGTTGTGTCTGTCTCGGTGAACACACTGGCGTACGTTCTCGCCGTTTTGGTCTGCACTTCGTGGGCATCCCAACAGCGCCATGTATACACGGCTAGCGCTTGTGCTCCTGCCCTGTATGATGGGCGGCGGCAGATGCCGCCTGGTAGTGTTTGTTGCATATTCTCAATTGCATCAGTAGATGTGCTGCTCAAGGCTCAACATGTATGCAACGACAAGAAGCACATGACTTGACACACACACACACACACACACCCAAATGTGATGCGTGTGCTGTATCGCTGCTTGATTCATCCATTGTGCCGAGAATTCGCAAGCTATCCAGGTAAAACTATGTCCTCATGGCTGCATAAATGCCAGACATGGTGCCAATGTGTTTTTTAGCGAATCTTAAAAAGGTTTGCACGAAAGCACACTGCAAAAGCACAGTAATCGCGACACAAAAGCACAAGCACTTAGACAGCGTTTTCACAGTACGGATTCAAATCATTCGCACCTCATGATACCCCTCCGGGTATCAGCAACTCATAATCCACTATGACTCATCTTGCCCCCCTGCACCTGCAAGTGAGACAGTGCCCTGTAAACAATGCTGGATAAGGATAAAATAGTGGTGGCACACCGCCAGGTAGGAAGGATAGGGACACGGCCAGAGGCATGGCACTGTGACTTTCAAAAATGGCGAACAGAGTTGAGGTGGTCGCCTTTTGCAAGAACAGGATTTGTCTTGACAGCTACCAACGGCTGCAGCTCGGGAGGTGCGATAATCCCTTGGGCAACTCGAAATCGCGAGTCGACAGAGCCTGAACCATTGCTAGGGGCATTTGACCACTAGTGACATAGAATCTCGTCCTACGCATACTTGAAAATGTCAAAAATGTGCCTTAGAAAGTTACGGTGAATATATATACGATTACGACTTTGATGAATCGTTTCACGGAGGTTGACATAATGTTGTCCTGGTTCGTGGCTTTTTTCCGGCGACTGGAGTGGCAGGACCACTCTTCTACCGCAGTAGCAAATATGCTATCTCTGCAACAGTGTTTTGCTTTGGCGACGGCACCAAGAACAGCTGGGGCAGCGCCACAAAGATAAACAACGCCGTCGCAAATGGGATATTCCCCCTTGCAAAAGGCTGTTGCGATGCTGTCAATCAATCATTAAAGAAAAGCTGCCCGAGGAGGTGGCGACCAGCTTCCATTTTAGCCCCGGATAAACAATCAAGAATGAAAAAACGGAGATCGGGGCGTCACCGCCCTTGGCAAAAAGCCGAACACTCCTCTGCCGCAAAACGAAAAATATTCGACCGACGCTGCGGACACGTGGAGCGCTGACGGCGCCTGCGGCCGGGGCGGCCCCGAATCACTTCTTCCTGTGCCTGCGGCGTCCAAGGACCACTCGCGCCCAGCACAGGAGCCCCCCGTCCGCCAGCCGGCCGCCTTCCTCGCCGCTCCGCCCTCGGGCCGTCGCCTTCGGCCCGACTCGAGCGCGCGGGGGCGCGGGCCGGGGGCGCCGCCACCCCATCGCATCGGCCGGTGGGCCGACTGCGCGGGTCGAGTGGGATCCGCGGCGGCCGCCGGGGGGCCGAGATGGGCAGCGACATCGCGAAGGACGTCCGCGGCAGGTTGCCGTGGTACAGGGACGACTGGCGGGAGGGCTTCAACTCGGGCGTGAGGTGGGCGACGGTGATTCGAGCCCCGCCGAGGGAGGGGAGGGGGAGCGGGGGCAGCGCTGCTCCGTCTGTCCAGATTTTAGGCTCAAGGCATCTGGACGCGAATCTTGATGACGCGCGATTGGTTTTTGGGCGGTTGGTAGCTGCGAGCCCTTTGGTGTCTACTGTAGGCTGGCAGGGCGCGGAGCGCACCGGTGGAAAGTTGAGAGTTGTTTGAACGCCATCCGAAGGGGTGGGCACAGCGTCGGCCCACCCGCTACAGAGCGAGCCACGCGCACAGATTTTCAGCTTCTGGCTCGAATCGGGTCGCATGAACCCGATTGTGGCACCCGATTGTGGCCCCCGATGGATGCGTTTACTTGCGGTTGCCATCCTCTGATCGCACCAGACGGTGGTGGCGTCCGATCAATGTTGATTTGGCCGTCGCGCGTGCCGCGCGGGACAGGTGTTGCTCATGCACCCGTCGGCAGGCAGTGGGAAGTCGCCCCTGTGTCGGCGAAGAGTCCCAGCGTTGCGGCGTGAGCCTCTGCGGGAGCAAGGAAGCATGGGAGTGGCGGCTTGAAGGAACGCGCGCGGGCACCCATGATGCCAAAAATAGTTAGTTGATTCGAACATCATACGGCATTCGGACGCAGCATGAGGGTCGCATTGGAACCACCCCGTGGACGGCACTGTGTAGGTAGCGAGATTATTACTGCACAAGGCTGGTACTGGAGCATCCAATGTACTAAAAGTCGAAAGTTGAAGTTACGTCCCAACCTCAACGAGCCAACCACCGATTGTCACCTTCCCCACCTGTAGTCGTCTCCAATCACGTCATGGGGAGTCGCTGTGAAATGCTGACCTCAAAAGGCATGCCAGTACAATTCACGCCGAGCCCAAGGACGCTGGCAAGAATAAGCAGTGGTTCAGCACAATTCTGCACGTCATACCTTTAAGTGCAGCGGTGTGGCATTGTGCAATGTCTAAATATTGGAAGTGCATATTGTTGTTCTCACCCTAAGGCTCCATGAGTGCAACAAAACAGTTGCTGATTATGGCTTGATCAGTCCAGTGTGTTGGACACACATGTGTGATATTTTGGCATCCTTGCAACTGCATTTGCTGTCAGGGGACCTGCATACTTTGTGTGGCCCTGTGTCAAGTGTTATGGTGTTCTTTTGCCCAGCATCGTGAGGCCCTTGCAGATCATCTAAGGCTGTCTCATTATTGAGACAGATGTACATGCCTTCCATGACCAGTGTGCCGTTTGTTGTGTTGCTGTCATGGCAAGATTCTTGCACATTATGGTGGCTGCACAGATGAAGGACACTGTCGCTGTTGTACAGGATTCTTGCCCCTGCTTTCTATATATTCTTTGCCTCAGCCATCCCTGCACTTGCATTTGGAGAGCAGATTGACCATGACACAGGTGGGTTGCCAAGAGTTGTCCAGTGTGCCTGAGTGCTCACAGGAGTTTCTCACCTAAACTTCAGGGATCTGCAGGGATCTTCAGGGAACAAAGTCCCTGAAACAAGTGCTTTTCTAAGTCTGGCTTGTGAATGGTTGCTGTTGTCTGGTGACATTGTCGGTTTCAATACTTCCACTTCTTCTTTGTGGTGAGCACAAATCGGCAATGAGATGGCATCGGGCTCTCCAGTTGACCTACTACAGTGGACCCCGAAAAGCTTGCAAGATTATCAAAGTGGCAGCGTATCATTCTTGTTTCATCTAACCCCTGTGCTTCTTTGCAATGACTTTCTTTACCGCATTCTGAATGCTTAGCAGCAGTAGGGCAAAATCAGACTGAATCAGTGCAGCACAGCATGTTCCATAAGCCTGCAGGCACAGCAATTTTGTTGTAACGCAAAGAGGTTGGATAGTCAGTCAAATGCCCTTGAAGGACAATTATCATTGCAGCAAACACACAGAACAAGTTTTGAAAACAGTGTTCTGCTCCACCCACGGTACCAGAGCATGGCGATCTTCTTGCACTATGGCAATCTTCACTTGCATCATTCCTGTACAAAAGCAGATAGGTCAAAGCAAGGCAGAAGCAGATAAGGACAAACCCTGTAATGAATAGGTGTTCCTGTGGGTGCAGATGGGGCTTTAAATGGGGTGCATGTGCTGACAGCAACAGCACTTTGTGGCATCATTCAGGTGGGTAAGGCAGAACCAGAGTTCACAGAAAAACAGGTTTCGTAGGCTGGACCAAGTCCATGGGGTCTTGCCAAGCCTTGCTGCTGAAAGTCGGACCAGTAGTCCACCCTGTGCAACCCATGCAAATGCATCTTTGGAGCATAGGTGTACTGTGGGCAAGGGGTAAGGCTGTGCTGATGGCATGGAAGTACCTATGCTGCGTAGTTGCTTTGTGAAGAGTTCTGCCCTTGCAAATGGAAAAATGGCCATATTCAGACCTTTGGCTGTTTATGGTCGCTTATGGGCTGTTATTATTTCAAACATTGTAGGCGGACTTATGAAAACCAAGCAATTCCTGGCTGGAAGCGCTGTCCCCCATGTGAGTGGGTGCCAAGCACACAATTTGGAAGATGCTGTTTCTATTCTGTGCGTGATTTCAAAAAGGCGTGGCTCTGTCCACAAATCAATGGCAATTGACAAGTGTATGTTGACCATTTTCACGTGCACTTTGCCAGGCAATGTTTGGAGGTCAACCCCTGTTAATTGTGGGAGTTGCTGAGCCCATCATTCTTGTGTACACGTAAGTTGTTGCGATTTTCTGCCCAGGGTGTGTGTTTTTGGTGGAGCCCAAATTGACGCCGCCTGTTTGGGATTCCTGAGCACCATGGCGAAGTGCTGCGTCACAAATATTCTTGGTGCCTGTTGTATGCTACGTCACTGTACACTATCTTTCTTCCCTTTCAAGTATTGCATCAACAACACTAGGTACTCCTCATGTTCCTAATCAGCAGATAAGGTGCCTGCAACTTGCAATGGTATGTTAATGTTGCTGTTGTGCACATTCGATGACAATATCCAATGTATTCACATAGTGCAGTATCTTGTCCTACCACCAGGACTTCTGCTCCAGCAATATGTACATTGAATGGGTTGCCGCAAACCAGCAAAGCAGCAGCAAGCATACTGTCATTGACAAGATGCAATTTGTGTGCAATGTACAACATACTGTACAGCAAGCTGCGAATGTTGTATGCGTTGCTTTATGTGCTGATGTCCAAGCTACACAGGTGGGCTGAATACTCCTCACAGTCTGCACTTGCCATTCATACAGGTGTAGGTGTTGTTGCCCATACTGTGGTGCAATGCAGTGGACTCCAAGAGTCAGGCACAGTATAGCAAAATCCACAGCAACATAAAGGTTGAGAGTGAAATAGGCATTAATAACGCAGATAACAAAAGCTCAAAAGCATGCTTTTGTTGAATGGCACACAAATGCTGCTGTGGGCATGTTGTGGCAATGTCAGATGACCATCATATGTTGCTTTTGCAGGTTCATGTTCGAATTTCTGGATGGCCGCAACAAGAGGGATCAGTTCCTGGCATGGTCGGCATGGGTGAACGTCTGGGCTGCTGTGTTCATTTTCGTCCTTGCCTTGGCTGGTACCTGCAAATTTATAGACAAATTCACAAGATTCAGCGGGGAATTGTTCGGCATGCTCATAGCTTTGTTGTTTTTGCAACAAGCCATAAAGGCAAGTGTTTTGTGGGCATCCTGGCGTTTGGTGAGAGGCAGACTCTGTGGTAACAGTAGATTACAGATTGGATATGCAGATTACCTTCTGTACCTGTAGCCCATAAAAATGTCAGGCATCAGGGTCCAGTTGCAGAACATTGCTGTCTAGGAATCTGCGCACAACAGAGGATCAAGACAAATGCACTACAACCAAGAGCTCACATCTTGCTGCGAATCCTCACCTCACATAGGGCTTCTGCAGCTGCTGTGTGCATGTTGCTGAATTGAATAAAAAAGGCTGCTGTTTGTGTCGCTACTGTTGAAGGTGTGGTGTGCTGTGTATGCACTTGCTGATATTGATCTTGCAGAGTATGCTGTCGTGCCACCACAAGACCCCCTGCAGCTTATTTAGCTTTCTATCAGTAACAAGCCACAAAGCTGACTTGCCCGGGAGAATATGCATGTGGGACCACAGTGGGTTTTGGTGCACAGACCGAATTGTATATTCAACAATTGAACAATGTGTCAGTCGAAGCTGCACTGCATATCATGGCAGCAGTCCCTTTAGCCTTGCACATCGACAGTGGGGATGCACCCGTATACTGCACTATGCTGCACTGCCTTGTGCTGCGCTTTGATTCTTGGTGTTGTGTTTCATGGCTTTAATCCAATCCATGTTGTCAATTGCCTGGGGCAGTTTTCCCCAGTGGGGGGGCGGCACTTGCTGCTTGCTGCTGGACTTTGTTGCTTGTGTTGACAAACCTGAAAATTCATAGCTGAAGTTGACTCTGCAGAACAAGGGTATTGTTTTACTGTGCAAAGGCAAATGTAATCCCAGGATTGCATTGTCCCTGCAGGGCTTGGTGGAGGAGTTCAAGAGGGAAGATGTGGAGGTGGTGGTGGAAGGGGGGGAAGAGGGAGATGGAGAGCTTCGAAAGCTGCTCAGCGGGGGTGATGCCGTTGCCAATATGTACTCTTGGCGACTTGTCAACGGGATTTGGGGTGTGGTAAGGGCAATTTTGTATGGTCCTTGTGATCTTATTCCATGCCTAGATAACAGCATCTCCCCTAGGAGGCCTTGTAGAGCAATTTGTTGGGAGCAACAGCAATTGGTGATTGGCCTGCAGTTGAATACAGAGCACTGAGAAATATGCCTTTCAGCAACAGCAGCTCCCGCACAGGAAAGCCATGTTCCTGGCAATCGTCAACAAGGACTCTACTCATGTTGAATAAAGATGGATTGATCTGCCAGGAAGTAGAGGTTTGCCAGATCATCCACATTCTCAGGAGCAAGCCATGCTGGTCCAGCCCCGATGACCCTGGTAGTTGAAATTGCATTGTATCTCAACAGTTGCAGAAGCCGCCCTTGCATTTTGATGTGATGACAGTTGCTTTCCTCTCACTTGCAAGCTTGCATTTCTGTAGTATTCAGAGTTGCTTTCACTACTCTGCTGGCTACAATGCACAGAACATTATGGGCACCTGTCTTTTGCACCCCTCTTCTTTCCGCTCAGTCTTGGCGTATTTGCAATAGTGTTGTTGATCAAGACATGCCAAATCACTGCCCATTTAATCCATTAGGCAGTTCCTGGCCCAATGTCTACAGGTGGTCTCTTTGCCCTTACTTTTGACTGCTTCCGCAGGTTCTTGCCACCGGACTTCTGTTGACATCTCTTCTTGTCCACGGTGCCCGTTCATGGAGCTTTGGCAAGGGCTGGCACCGCTCTCTCCTTGCTGACTATGGTGTTCCTCTTATGGTCGTTGTGTGGTCGGTGAGTGGACCCCCTCCTCATTTCTCCAGGCCCCAACTTGCGATGCTAAGAACGGTTGCATTTGTGCAGGGGATCGCTGATACCATTTCTGTGTTTGTCTTGTGTGCTCAACAGGGCATTTCATACTCTATCAGTGGCACGCCAGATGGCATTCCCAGCAGACTGAGTATTCCCAATACCTGGGATGTCAAGGACACTTGGAAGGTGAGTCACAATATTGCTGCAGCCGTTTGTATCTGATGGCTGTGAGCAAATCGGTCAACACAGTACTTTGAGGCTGAGATGCAGGGTACACAAAATATAAAGGCAATGGACTACTCACAACTTTTGGCAAGAGCAATATCCCACAGCTTCGCTCCCACTGGTAGCGCCTAAGGCATTGTGCGCAGCAAAGCCTCAGATAGTCAGCTGAAAGTGGCGTGAGACCAACTGTTGGCTGACCAATTGTGGCAGAGTGAAACTCTGGAGGAATAGTGGGCAGGTCCCTGCGCCCTGTTCATGCTCATGGTGCAGACTACACTTTCAACAGAAAGGACAAATGCACCATATGATAGGCGCCTCCTAATCAACAGGAAATGCATTGGAGATTATGTGCAGCCCTCCAGGCGCAGCATAAACAGCAGCGATGCAAAGGTCAGTACAGCAATAAATTGCGGCATTTGTGTAGGCAGCTGCAAGCTGTTGTGCTGAACCTGCATGCAGGCATTGGGTTGGTAGGCCACTGGTTTGTGCTATGTATGATGTGTTCTTGCCCTCTCTTTAACTGCGTCCTGGGCATGAAGCACAATAGCCGGCAGTGCCACACCAGCTTGACACCAGCAAAACTTGGCAAAGTGCACATTTGTATGTCCCTGCTTAATGAAGTGGCTGACTGTGCGAGGATAGCACGCATGAAACCCAGCCCACAGATTTCTATTCTTGTACTGCAGTACAGTGCGGGTCCTTGCCCTGTTAATGTTGCATCATATGTAGAGCGGCCCTGACCATGCACGGCATTAGTTACACCTTGCTAGCTCTTTGATTACATTGGTTGATGTTAACAGTTCATATTAGGGACCTATACCACAATGAAGGGCAACACGCCTGGAAATGCCATGTTTTGTCCAGAACTGCTTGTGCAACTCTGATCTGTGTTTGCCCATCTTGATTTTAGACCTGCTGACTTGGCTGCCACTTAGGTTGTACAAGACATGGGTGACGTCGAGGGATGGCTCATTGGAGCAGCAGCCATTCCAGGCTTCATCATCACAGCTCTGTTCTACTTCGATCACAACGTGTCCTCCCAGCTGGCTCAGCAGAAAGAATTCGCTCTCAAGAAACCCCCTGCATACAGCTATGACTTCATGTTACTTGCCTGCATGGTACGTTTTTTGTTTCCCAAAAGAACGTTGTCTACAAGGGCAAGAACGTGTATGCATTCCTAAATATTACAAGCAGAATACTTGTTACTCCAAACAGCATCTGACAATATTCAACTGGCGATGGGGCTGTTGCTTGTTATGCTTTATTGAATGAGTCAATGAGTATTTGCCAATCAAAATGCCTTGGAATAAACTGCACGCACGATGGAAAACATCTGTCAACTGTGTTCTGCGATCCTTGCCTTCTTTTTCATTGTTTGGCCATGTGTTGTTGTTTAGATGTCTTGTACAATCTGCTTGGACATTGGTTCTGCAATACAAACGTGCCCAGATGGGGAGACGGTCGATTCGATTGTCTTTGGAAATTGTAACTAACGAGGCCGTTGCACAGGCTAAGGAGGTGGTGGGTATGGCTTATGAGCATTAATTCAGTTCTGAACCTTGAGGTTTTGGAAACGCTGTTCCAGACTCTGATGTGCGGGCTTCTTGGAATCCCACCAGTCAACGGCGTCCTACCTCAAGCTCCGATGCACACAAAGAGCCTGGCAACGCTGAAGAAACAGCTCAACAAGAGAGGTGAGAAGATCTGCCTGGGCAAGGTTGTGCTGTGATGGATGGCAGGCTGGTTGCCCTGCTGCACCGCGCCTTCACAGTGACGGACGCTGTGTCTGCACAACAATGGAGTTTCCCCGCAGAGATGCACAGAGCAGTTGGCGTGGGTTTGTTCCCTCCGCCTGTTAACCGTCCATGAGGCCAGATCCTCAATGTCAAACTGGAAGTACAAATCGCTGCGCTGTTCACCTGTTGGATGACGTCGATGTACCTGGAGCTGCATTCTGTGGCTGGAGCTGCAAGCTTGCCCCCAGTATTTGTGCTCACACGGATGTTCAAACCCAGACAGAAATCCCATAAACTTGCTCAAACTGCATTTTGAGGACAGTCTGGACAGGACATTGTCGAACTGCAACTGAGCTGCACCATAGATTCGCAAAGAATAAGGCCTCAGCAAGGTTCTGCCCTCCCCACTCCCACACGCCCATGCAGCTTGTCCTCTGCAGGGCTCAAAAAATGCAAGCCGCTCAGCAATGATTGTAGAGAAGGAGACAGGGGAGGGAGTGGCAGTGGCAGTGGCTGGACCAAGCAGAAATCTGTCTGGAAGAAAACAGCCACAGTGAGGGGCTCACCACCCAAGTGTGTGGAAGTCGATTTACAATTGCAAGCAGTCAGGAGAGCAGCTTCCAAGATGCACAAGTCACCAACACCAGACCACAGATTGACACCAAGCCTTTTTTAAAGTTGTGGTCAGCACATTTCACATGCCAGGTGACTGCATGGTGGTACTATCTGCTTTAAGTCTGTATCATTTCAACTTCTTCTTGGCAGTGGTTCTGTGTGCTGTTCCTTTGCAGCTTTGCATATTTGGACCCGTGCATGTGTACTGCATTGTTTGCACAGTGTTTCACTATGTCTATGCATGAACATTTGAAAGAACAGCACATAGCACCACTCCAAACTTAGGAGGCATGGGACCCAGCAGGTTGCTATGAATGTGTCATACCTGTAGCCACTGATGGAGGCTTTCTTCTGAGTTCTTCTCGGATTGACTGTCCCAACTGTGCTTGCCCACAGATGCAAGGAGGGAGTTAGTTCGAAATTCGCAAGCGCAGGGCCTCAGCAAGGGCAGTCTCAGCCAATCTTCAACTGGCAGCTTCAAGCGTGCTTCTGTGGGGGTTCCCACGTCACCTGTGTCTCCCGACGCTGGGCTGGCTCGAAAGTCTGCAGGGCATGAGCAGCAGAGGTCCATGGTTGGAGGTATCCCAAAAGTGCCATCCGCTGCAAGCCTAAGCGATGGGACAGCAGGGAAGATGATCAAGCAATCGGCTTCGCATCAGAGCCTGCTATCCCTTACCAGTGGGGAGCGTGTCTCAAAACAAGACTTTGTTACACTGGAGGTGAGTGGGTGGTGCTCGTAAGTTCTTGGGCAGCCTACATGTTCATGGCATTCTTGGTTCTGTGTGTTATACCAATGTCCTGTTGCATGTTGCTGAATGTTGGCCCTGGCTTGAAGAATTTCTGACGCATTGCAGGCTTCGTGCATAGGAAGTTCCCTACTCTTGGCTTCCAGCATGTTCTGTTGGAGCTTGTCTGATCCGCTCTTCTTCCAAAGAACCCAGATGTTGTGGAAGCCAAGCACTGCAGATAGCGCTCGAGCCATACATCACCATTACCATACAGTTGTTCTGCAACTCGACTGGTTTGTCCCTGTCAGGTGAAGGAGCAGCGACTGTCAGGCTTGCTGCAGGCAACTTTGGTGGCTGCCTGTTTGGGTTTGACGCCCATCATCAAGAAGATCCCAAAGTCTGTGCTGTGGGGCTACTTTGCATACATGGCTATTGAGTCCCTGCCAGGCAGCGAATTCTGGGAGCGCATCCTCCTGCTGTTCACAGACCCAAAGAAGCGTTACCAGCTGCTGGAGGCCGCCCATGCACCCTACCTGGAGACTGTCCCATTCAATGTCATCATCCAGTTCACTCTCTTTCAGCTCATCTTCATGCTGTCGGTTTATGCCATCACCTGGGCAGGGGTAAGTGTTTATCTTTGGCACAGTGTGTCATTTTCACCTTCCAATTATGATGTTGGAACATTGAGGCAGCATGTTGCCGGTTGGACTTGGGTAGCAGCACATTTGTACTGGAATAATGTTTGGTGCAGAGGCCTCAGTGCATGCACATGCAAACCTCCACACGATAGACATAGGGATAGAGAATGCGTGCATGGCGCTTTTCTTCATCCTATTTAGCTTGGTCGAGCAGAACGATGTTTCAAAGGTGTCCTGTGCCTTCTTTCTGCACAATTTAAATGCAGATTCAGCAGCCTGAACGTTGTTCAGACGTCACTGCCAGAGCCACATTTGAAAGATGGTCATGTGAGAATCACGTTCACCTCAACCAACAGACATGCGAAGTAAGCCTCCAGCAAGAGCTGCTGGGCTAGTAGTCAGCCGTTGCACTACATTTGGACAAATGCGTTTCGCCACCAGTCTCATGTAGACCTTTGGGGTCTCTCATCGCTGGCGCGTACGTGCTCATATCATGTCTTTTCCTCTGCACCACCATTTCAAATGAATGAATGAATGGGGAACAAACAGAACATGTTGAATACACAGATGTGCGTCATCTTCTTCCAAATGCAATGGTAATGTTGTGTTCTGCAAGGACGCATGCACTGACAGAAGTTCATACTGTTCTGCTGTGCCAAAGGTCGCTGGGGTTGCCTTTCCTCTGGCCATCATGGCTCTAATCCCCTTTCGGCAGTACGTTATGCCCAAGATGTTCTCTGCGGCGCACCTGCACGAGCTGGATATGGCGGAGTATGAGGAGGCCCCACCCGTGGACCACAATGAGGTGCTGCGGGAGATGAAGAAGCAAGGCGTGATCCCAGAGGATGATGAAGAGGAACGCCGCCAGGCTTTGGACAGGGAGGTGGTGGGGGATATGATACCCCAGGTCAAACACCACCTGACCAGAGCTGAGGTATGTGAAATTGCCATGATTCTATTTGCTCATTGGCGCATGGCGCCCAGGTGCGCCGTCCACCATGTGCATTGTGCACTTCTCTTCCTGCCTGAAAGTGGGTTTGCCTCTGCTTTGCCTGGGGACCTTTGGCTCATTTATGTATGAGACGCTCAGTCGATCTTCCTTTCTGATGTAGATCGTGGTTGGCCACAGGGACTTGTTAGCTTCCCAATCTGTCTTGTTATCATGCAGTGATGGTTTGGTGCATTGAGAATCAAAAATAGAGTGAATGGTTGGTCAAGAAGTAAGTGCAAAGGCGTCAGTTCTTGTGCTGATTATGCCCTGCACCGGCAGTGTATTGGCTCGAATGTAGGCTGGACGGTCCTGATGGCCTCTGTAGCTCATGTCTGTGACGTTCTCTTTTGTAGCTGGAGCGACGGAAAGAGACCATGGAAGTCGCCGAACCATCCCGAGAGGAAGGGCTCCGCCACCGAAAGAAGGCGGAGCCGCTGCCGAGCTCGCCTGCCAGTGGAAAAGAAGGCCCTGGCCAGGCTGACAGCATTGTATGAGAGCGCAGGGGCGCCGCAATGTTCAGGGTGTCCCCTGGCAGTTGGTCGTTCTGAAATGCATACGCTCATGTTGACTGAAATGATGCGCTGCGTATCTTCTGCATCGCTGCCATCCAAAGCACGCGCCATGAGGATGGCGGTTGGTGTGAGAAAGCACCAAAAGGGGGTGGGGGGTGGGGGGTGGGGAGCGGGGCGCGGGCATCCACAGCTGTGAAGAGAGCGTTCGATCATGGGTGGAAGCCATATTTGGGGATGGTTGGAAACGTGTGTGAGGTGGAGAATTTTTTTCATGTTTCGGCCTGTTCCTTGCTTGATATGTGGGACTGAAAACAGTGCCTGTTGGCGAGGGAAGGGCTGGAAATGGGGACGAGCTGTAGCATTTGCTTTCTTGGGAGCTATCTGAACTATTGTGGAAGGCAGTTATCGATGGGTGTTTGAAGGGTGAGCTAGGGAGAGGGCACGGCTTGCGAAGCAGTTCTGGGTTTCGAGCTGGCCATGTGCTCCACATTATCGAGAAGACTGCTGTCATTGGTAGTCACTGTGGAGCCAGTCGCTGCGTATTTTAGGGATTGGATTTGCTTTCGACGTTGACCATTTCATTCATCAATTTGGTGTTTAATTCAGTCGCTGGAAAACGGGTGTTCGCGACGGAACGGCCAAGGCAGCCTTCATAGCAGGCAGGCTGGCAGCCAGCCAGGTCGACTTAACTACGTAGGCCACTGCCGACATCCCCTATCCACCGTGACTGTAGCGTCTTGCAGGTTGATCACCCGACCTACGATCTGCCCAATTTTTGCCCGCCCTCTCCAGCAGATGTCGGCCAATCGGCCGATTTCTTTCTGTCGGTCGAATGTAAGCCCGGATATTATGCCGGCTCTCTCTTCGGCAGAGAAGATCCAACAGCATACAATGCAACACATGCGACAGGTGCTAGAGGAGCCTGGGCTCTGGCCGGCTGCACGTCAACCACCCGGACCGCAGCTAGCCTGAACGCAGCGCTCTTTGCTTTACGAAGGCACAGAGCTCCAAACACGCCTCCCGACGATAGTGGGGAGGGTGCCGACCTTCATATCCTGGTCACAGATTGAAAGTTTCGGCAGCGCCCAGGGGCGCCCTGGGCCGAAGTCTGAGACTTGCAGGGGAATGACGACACCCTTGACACCTTGATCTGCCGATCCATCTGCCCAGTAGTGCGTTGATGCACGCCCGCTGCCTGCTCGAATCGCTGCCCCATCAGGCCTTGCGCATCTATCACCTGCCGACCTTCTTGGGCTGTGGCTGTCCACCACAAGTCCCACAAGCTTGCGGTCCGGCTTGACGCCCCAATCTCAACACTCGGTTCCGGGTGCCAGAGCCCCACTGAACGTTCTTGTCCCTTACCTCTTCTGCTGTCGCCCCTCACCCCCTGGCGTCTTCGCAGCGGCGGTCTGGCGGTCTCCATGGTGCAGCCAGCTGAAAGGGCGAAGACACTCGCGTGTGCAAGTTTCTTCACATAAATCTGCGAAGTTCACCGCTTGCAAATCTTTCGCCACTACTATTGTGTACAGCAGAGCTGCTGCAATCAGTGTTGCTTGGTTTTCGTTCAGTTGTACCACATGGGGCCTGTTGGTCCTGCCGTGTTGCGTGAAGTACGAACACTGTTGTGGAATGATGGAGAGGTCGCTCTTGCCTAAGCTTTTGCCCGAGCAACATTAGAGCAGACCGGATTATTCCAATTGCTATGCATTAGCGCCGGTGCGATGATTGGGTAACTCGGGACGTGGCAAGGTCGCCATGGTGTCTTCCCCAAGGGTTTTCTTTCTGCAACATGGCGCCTCCCCCTGCCCGTCCATCCCACTCACCCTTTCACTTCCCAGATACCTCTGCATCAAGATGGTACCAAAACCGAACCAATTCAGAAAGCCTCATGCATTTATCCCCAACGCCGCGTTCGCCATGAACGAACAGCCCATATATCCGTGTGGGTGCTGCCATTTTCGAATAGGAAGTGGCTCTTCTTGATACAACGGGTCGTTTCCGATGGCAAGTGCTAAAGTTCCTGACTCGAAGCGCTGCATGGGCGGTGCGGTATCCTGAGGCGCGCCCATTTGGCTCTGTTGAAGCGCCATTCCGCGTTTGGCCATTGCAACTGTCGCAGCGGTGTGAGACTGTGCGTGTCGGAAACCTGATTCACAGAAGCCACAGTACCTGGAAAGGTCCACCTGTTCTACAATCCGTTTCAGAGGAAAGGCCAATGCCAATGCCAAGCAGGACATGAAGGCCAGCATACCCAGTCCACAGAAGTTCGAACAGAGCGGCATGCAGCTCCACATTGCCAATAGAATTTACAGCACGCTTACATTCTTTGCCATCACCGCCAGCAGCTTGAGCCCCATGTCCTTTCCAAACCTCCATGCCGTTAGTTCCAAGCACCGAGATGGAGGCAACTGTACACCTGACACTCAGGCATCTGCTGGAGATACTGTAGACGTGAGAGATCTTGGACGGAACGTAATCCTCCAGCACTTGCTACTGTCGGTGGCTACATATCTGCCAGCAATCTTACTCACGGCAGGTGGACAGATGTCGCACGCAATACAGGTTCTTGCTGCGAGGCAAACGGCATCGCCGCCATTGTGTGGAAAGGAGGAATGCCGGCCCAGCCATCATTTGGGCTGACTGGGCTCACAACCCAGGCGCAACATCAACAACAAATTGGATGGTTGTAAAGCTGCAAAGGTTGTGCCACCAACAACACCAGCGACTGGGCATGTCAAATCGTACATGCAGCCACCAGAGCAGCAAAACCAACATTTCATAGCTGGTGCACCTCACCAGGGCCTGTTGGCACAAACTTCCACTGTGAATTAGGTATGGATTTCTGTCCACTTTGAGAACTGCTGTCATGCTCATAATCACATATTCGTGGGCTAAGCTTACCACCCAAACCAGCAGCATTTGGATAGGGCCACAAATTTCGAAAGGCATCCTGCGCCTGCGATGAGTCGCCACCAAACGGACCACGACCTGCTCTGCCAATGCTTGATTTGAACCAATGTTAAGTGTACTGTGCAGCAGCTGCCCCACCTGGAGCATAGGATGTATCACACTCAACTGGAATTCCATGTGCATCCAAGCAGCTGACACCCCCAGGTCATTCACTGTACAAGAATCAACCACCAGTGCGCCCCGCCATATCATGGCTTTGGAGCTCAGAATAACACCCACACGGCACAACGGGCCTCCAGAGGAATGATCAAGAGAGCCAACTGTTTGGCGTGAGTTTCTGCGCTCATGTCTCGTGAATCAGTTCACCATACTCCCATTACACATTGACAACCATGAATGCACTCACTGGCCATAAGCACTCCGCCAAATTGAGCGCGTGAATAGAGTGAAGCAATAGAGCGGGGAAGTCTCGCATTGCAGGCGGACTGATTGGTTGCAGCCGTTAGTGTGGGTAGCTGTGCGTTGCTGGTCGTCTGGCGGCAAGCATGCATAGTCGGATCGTTTCTGCCCAAGGCACCCTTGTATCCAGCTACATTGTAAGAAACCAAAGCAGGTCGTAGGTCATCCAACATACTTGAGCAGCCAGAAGGCACTGACATATAGGATAGGATGCAACAAAGCCGACGAGAGCAGGTTGTGGCTTTCAGCTGAGGAAGGTACCGCACGACAGCACTGCACTGCAACGTCAAGCAGACAGCAAGAACTCGACAGCCAGTGAGCCATGGTAGTCGGTTTCGCATGGATGGAGATACGATTGATACACAGCTTGTCTCAAACGTCGCCAGGATTGCCATCAATGCAACACATGCGGAAAGGACCGGCAACGTCAGTTCAGGGACTGTGGCGATCTCAATACCCACACCTGGCGACCTCCGCAAGGCAGTTTCTTGGACCTCTGTGCCATAAAAAAGACAGGCTCCAAGTTCGTGGTCGGAAGGTCCCACTGACCTCCAAACCATTACATCGTCTCAGCTCTGTAGATGATCTTCACTGGCATACCATGCTGTGCGTTCATATGCACATCTGTTGCCACTTAATCCATTGTGATATCAAGGAGGCAAGATAACTGGAGTGTAAACTGGAGCGTATGCTGTGACAGTTCAGACATGAATGTCCCCACATGCAGGAAGCATTGCACACGGATTATCGGGCAAGCATGATAGCCACATATGTCACACATCGAGCACAGCCAGTTGTGCACGTTGACCCCTGTGCCAAGCGCCAAGTGTGCATGTCTCCCAAACTTTGCGACGAATCGAAATGGCCACACATTCAGGGCTGCAGAAGGACAACTTGACCCCTCAACTATTCAGCAGCTGCACTGAGCAGAACATGGGACAAAAGAGTGGCAATTGACCATCCTGGCAGACCTGCGAGCTCTTGGCATCACAGGCAACGATACTGCTCACTCTTGGCACACATGACCACACACGTCATACATCGAAGCCAAGAGATACCTGTATCAGTTTGCTGCGCTGGCCCCTCTACCCCCTCTTCCTGGGCTGCTTGGTGGCCATGCTCCAAGGAAAGCCACAAAGACAGACTCAATGGCTGCCTCTGCAACTTCCTCGTTAAATTTTGTTCACAAAAACCAGCAGCATGTGCATTGAGCGGTTCAAAGTGGAGGGGCCTGACTGGATACGACACTCATCAACAAAATAGCAGCCAAGCAGAGGCAGGAGAACAAGGCAACCATGTGCCGAGAAGTCGCCTATGCAGCTCAAATTTGATTCTCACATCACTGGCGGCAAAACCACAACCCCAAAAGGACTGAAAGCAGATTCTTCTGCTTCGTCACTTGCCATATATCTCACAAACAGAGACCAAAGGGCATGCCTGTCCACTCCATTCAACAGCACAACAGAGAGGAGCCATACTGCAGGCAATCTGAAAATGAAAAACACACACCCAAAGACCCAAACCGGATGCTTCCCAAACAGACAGACAGCCACCAGTGCACAAAACACACTTTCATCCAGTCACTCTACTCGCCAGCCAAGCTCCTCTCATGGCACTTGTACTCCACAGATGAACACAGCAAGAGGGCAACAAGACCAGCACCGGGTGTTCCCCCTAGGGGCCCCTTTCTTACTGAAGTTCGGCAGGCTTCTCCCACTGGCTGACGCCAGTCTGGGTATTGTAGTAGTATGGCCTGTTCTCCGCATCTTGAAGCTCTTGCCAAACAGACTCTGGCATCGCTGGCTGGGCTGCAGGTGCAGGCTGCACTTGCTGTGGTGCTGATGCAGCTGCGTTGGGCTGCCCATATGCCTGGCCCGTATACGCCTGGCCAGCGTATGGGTCCGACTGGCCATACCCAGGGTATGCTCCATAGGATGGAGCAGGCGCTGGGGCAGGGGCTTGGGCAGGGGGGTAGGCAGGGGGTGCATAACCCTGGGCATTGTAGTAACCATATGGGTTGGGAGCAGCAGGTGGTGGGTAGTTGTTGTAGCCACCATATGGCCCTGGTGGAGGCTGCTGGTACTGATAGGGAGGGAACTGCGGGGGGAAGGTGCCGTGCTGGGGGGCACCCCTCTGGCCACCACGTGGAGGCGCACCTGCATAAACCAAACAATGCGCATAAACCCATGCCATCCAAAAACTCCTTCCAACACATCAGCAGCACAAGGGTGTGGTATCACTCACCATATGGTTTGAACTGGCTCATGTGAGCTAGAGGCGTGCCTCCATTGATGATTTCCTGCACCATGTCAGCGGCAGCCTGTACTTTCTGGGGTGGGCCAGAAATAGTGACTTTGCAGGGCTCCACATTCTGGTCTATCTGCACAGCGGCGCCGGTGTCTCTCTGAAGCGCCTTGATGGTCTCTCCACCCTTGCCAATCACGCGGCCCACCATCGTCTTTGGGCAATCCAGCACCTTAGTCATGCCCACACCATACTGCAAGACAAGGTGCACAAGCATCAACCACACGTCAAAACTACATACATTGGGTGAGCGGCGCACCCTGCCTTTCTCAGCCCACTCACCCCGTCCAGTAGCAGCCCCGGATCAAAATGGCCCTTCCTTGGCACGCCTTTGGTATCGCTTTGCAACAGAGGTTCTATATAATCTTTTCACAACATGGAAAAGAGTCTTGCATACACTTGCCTAGGAGGGCGTGCCCTTTGCATTACCTGTTTCTTTCTCTCTGTAACAAGTCTCACCTTCTGTATAACTTTCTGCGCGCTTCCTGGCTCCCCGTTGATGAGCTCGGTGACCATCTTCACGGCCCTGTCCACAGCATCTGGCTGCCCCGTAATCTTCACCTTCCGTGGCACCCCCTGGGGGAAGTTCTGGTCCACCACGATGTTGGCGCCGCTGGCCGACTGCAGCGCCTTGATCGTCTCCCCGCCCCTGCCGATCACCCTCCCCACGATCCCGGGAAGGCAGTCCACCGTCTGGGACACCTCCCCGGGGGCCGAAGACGGCCCGTCGGCCTCCAGGATCCCCTTGATCATCTGCTTGGCCTCCTCCAGGGCCTCCACCGACTTGCCCGTGATGCTGACCTTCTTCATGTCGCCCGACGCCTGGTGGTCGATCTGGATCTTCGTGTTGGTGTCGTGCTGCAGCTGCTTGATGGTGGCGCCGCTGCGGCCGATCAGGCGGCCGACCAGCATCGAGGGGCAGTTCACGGTGTCTGTGACGTCGCCGCCAATGCCCGTGCCCGGCGCCACCTGCGTGGGAACCCCACCCACGGGGAGGGCCCCCACGGGGGCCGGTGCCACGGGGACGGCGTCCAGTCCGGGGGCCACGGCCGCCGTCTGGGACAGATCGGGAACCGGCACGGACACATTCGCGGGGTCCAGCGCCGGCGCCACGAATTCCTTCACACCAAAACAGCGCACGAGAACTCTCACGACGGCGCACGCACGGGAGAGGTCGGCAAGCGGGGGCGCAAAAATAGCGGCGGCGCCCAGGAACCCCAAGACCGCTGCTGCTTGGTTCGGCGGTGGCAATCGCGGACAGGAGCGAAACTGGTGAAGAGGCTGTGCGGGACGGACAACCCACATGGAGCACTGAGGGCATCCGCGTCCTCCCCCAGGCCCTAGCGGCGGCATGCCCTGCTTGCAGTGCGCGGCAGGCCATGAAAGCCAGACACCGCCGCCGCTGAGCCGCGCCAGCCCGGCCCGGCCAGCGAACTCAAGGGGCCCCACCCGCGCCCGCGAACACCCCCACCGGGGATACCGCGCCGCCACTACGTGCCACCCCAGCGCAAACATCAGCGCGCAACAGACCCCCGCGGGGCAGCAACGCCACCGACCGGCGCCACGTTGCCGACATCCTCCGTCCCGTTGAAGAACTTCTTCCGCATCGGGCCGTCCACGCCGTTCTCCCCGCCGTCGATGCCGGGTTCGAACTTGCGCTTGTTGCCGCCGTCCTCCTCGTAGGCCTTGTCCCCCAGCTCCAGGCCGCCGCCCACGGGGAAGGCCGGCATCCCCATGCCCGAGTTCTCCTGCACGAAGCGGTTGGCCAGCGCCTGGGCCTGCGCCTGGGCCGCCACCACCGCCTCCACACTCGCGTTGGGGTCCTCGGCCATGCGGCTGTGGGGGGATGCAGCGCCGAAGAAAGTGCGGCTGCTCGCGGTGGGGCTGCCTGCGGTGCCTGGTGCTTGGCCGCTGTGAGCCAGTCTCTCTCGCTCTCGCGGCACCGCTGGGCGCGTAAATGGAATTTTCATCGGCCTCCGCATTTTTTTGTGCGTGCGCTGGTGGGGGGTTGGGGGCGATTTGGCCGGTGGTGGTGGTCCCCAAGGGCGCACTCACAACCCTCCGCTCCCCTTGCTCGTGCCCTCCAGGCGGCAAGCGACGGCGCCCAGCCCGCGTGCGCAAGGCGCTGAACGATTCTGGTCCCCTTCTGGCGACAGCGACAGCCACAGCCGGCCTGCGCCCTGCTTACTGCAGGCCTCAACAGCACAGCGGAGGAACGCCCGGCCTGGGAGAAGGTTGTTTGGCAGGCGGCCGGGGCTGAGTGCCTGCGGTCCTGCGCGCTTTTGTGCGCCGCCCGCCCGTGTGCCGTTCGCTGCGAGGTCCCGCTCGTGTCCGGTTGCGCGCCATGGGCAAGGACTATTACAAGGTGCTGGGTGTGCCCCGGGACGCGACGGACGACCAGCTGAAGAAGGCGTACAGAAAGCTGGCGCTGAAGTGGCACCCCGACAGGAGCACCGAGAACAAGAAGCAGGCGGAGGAGAAGTTCAAGGAGATAGGGGAAGCATACGAAGTGCTGTCCGACCCGCAGAAGAAGGAAATCTACGACCGGCTGGGGGAGGAGGGGATAAAGAATGGCATGGGGGGGATGCCCGGCGGTGGCCCCTTCGCGTACACGCCCTCCGCCGCGGAGGACATCTTCAGGCAGTTCTTCGGGAGCATGGATCCGATGGATGGCGTCTTTGGCGGCGCGGGGCCCAGCGCGAGGCCCGGCGGTTTCAGCTTCGGGCGGTCGGGCTTTCCCGGCTTTTCCTTTGGGCCATCGGGGTGCGAGGGGTGTGGGAACGCTCGGGGCGGACGGTGCTCGAGCGGCCAAAGGCGGCGCAAGCCCGACCCCATCGTCACCCACGTGAAGTGCACCCTGGAGGAGCTGTACAACGGGACCACCAAGAAGATGCGCATCACGCGGTCGGTGATGGACCGCAGCAGCATGAAGCGCATGCCTCTGCAGGACATACTGGAAATCCAGGTCAAGCCGGGCTGGAAGAAGGGCACCAAGATAACTTTTGAGGAGAAGGGGGACGAGGAGCCGGGCATGGCGCCGGCGGACGTGGTGTTTGTGCTGGAGGAGAAGCCCCACAACACGTTTACCCGGCAGGGGGACGACCTGGTGTACACACAAAAGACCTCTCTGCTGGACGCGCTGTGTGGGAGCACAGTGCGGTTCACGCACCTGGATGGGGGCGTAAGGACGTACACCCTCACGGAGCCCATGGGGCCCGGCAGAACGAAGCTCATTCGTGGGGAGGGAATGCCAAACTCGAAGACGGGGAGAAAAGGAGACTTGATTATCCAGCTGGAAGTGGAATTCCCGAGGCAGCTGTCAGCTCAACAGAAAGAGGGCCTAAGGCGGATCCTTGGGGATGCCTGAGAGTAGGGTTGCTGGGTGCCAGGAGGCTTTTCAGTATGTCGTGGTTATGTTCCTTCACCTTCCAGCTGACAGGCAAAGTGAACATCTGCGCAGCAGGGACTGCGACGTGGTGCAGGTGCCTGTCCACCACAACTCGCCCATGCAAACACAGATATTACGGTGAACAGTGGTATGAAGACGGCCAATGCTGGGTTTCATGGCCGCTGGCTGCACATCTGCTGACAGCAAGACCTGCCATAGGATACTCATCTTGCAGATGAACTTTGAACTCAGCACACTTTGCCATATTGTCGCAATGAGGGTTAACAGTGTTTCACATTTGTTGAGTCATCCAGATCTGCAGGTTGTTGCTTTTGAGCAAAGCAAGCAATGCTGTGCTGCACACAAATCCAATCACTGCCCTGTGTTTAACTACCATCTTGGTGAGCAAGGAATGCACCGAAGGAATTGTTTCCTCCTTTGCCATCCGATCAACTGCCATGGACCAACGAGTGGGGCAGGTGCGATTGGCCTTGCATTTGCCCCCCCTTGAGGACAGCACAATAAAGTGGCCAGCATGATGCAGTTGGCTCATAGCGCTTCTTCTTTGTAAACCATCTGACAGCTGCGAAGCTCACTTGAAACAGGGTTGCCCCACGTCTGACTCATTCTTGTAGTGAATTTGGGGTCAACCTCTGGATTGGCGCAACAAAGCTGTCAATCAAAAGTCTTCTGGAATGCGTGAACGGTATTCGTAAGCAGTCATGCTCCATCCTCTCTCGGTCAGTGGTGGTAGTCAGTCAGCTGTCATTTTCATCTGTGGAATCATGCAAGATGGCTGTGGCTCATCATGGGCTGACGACGATAGTTGCCACTTTCTTTGTGCATGATCTATTCAGATGAATGCAAAACTGATAAACCGATGCTCGTTGCATGGTGCGCAATTTGAGGGTTTGTCAGATCAACTGTACATCTTCTGCCAACACAAAAGTTAGTCTGAGCCACTTCGCTAATTGTATTGGTGAGTTGCTGTTCTTTCTGGTGCCCAGATCGTTGTACCCAGCGCGTCTCGCTGGGCCATGATCCTTGCGGAAAGTGTGACTGGAGAGAACTATTGGGACACCACAGCACTGTCGTTTCTGGGCACAAGAAGATTGTGGAGGCATGGCGGCGTCCTGGATGCTTGGAAATGTGGCATCGGAGCCGCTGCTTAGGACAACAGAGCGACGCTCATTGCCTCACCTTCAGTTTCCTCTACCACCTCGTTGAGTTCTGATGCCATGTCCGTCAACAGCATCAGTGTCTGGTCGGGGTCCCAGGGTTCGTCTACTTCGTCCACCTGGTGGACAACTGGCCTTCAGAATGCCAGACGAAAGGAACAACAGCCGCTTGCGTCGCGTGCAGTCCCTAGCCCACTGTGCCATTTTGCAATGGATCCAGCCACGCGGATAACGCCATCGCATGCGCACAGCCGTACATGGCATGCAACAACACGTCGCTGATGGAGGTGAAAGGCTTGCCCATCAGGCCACCCCACCTCTTCTGGGGAGTACAGGCAGGAGGTGAGAAGGGAAAGGTCAATGTCCCCATCGCGGCTGAGCGGGACACCTCTGCCATGCTTTGACGCAAACTCGGATATGTCATTGACCTTGTTGGTCACGACCTTGGGGGCTTCAGCGACCTGCAAGCGCAGAGCACAGCTAAGGCTTAACTTAAAGCGATATCCGGTGCTCGGTTTCATTCAATGCATTCCGTGGGGGTTGCATTCGAGCGATTGCGGCAGCACATAAATGTGGCACCACATCGACTGGGAAATGGACACAGATGTTGTTTGGGCGGGAAGTGTCTCCTACTATGGGCGTGGGGGTGCGCACATGGTGGGGAGAAGGGTGGCGAGGAACGAGGTGCACTGACGACGTAGATCACCAAGCATGCACTGACTGCCATGGAGAGCTTCCGTCCCCAACATACAATGCGTTATCGCGCCCTTTTGCATCCGAGGCAAATTGCGAACCCCAGTAAAATTTAGGGCAAAGAGGACTCACCATTGAATAACCAGCATTGACTGTTTCCCACTATGAATATCCGCACTCTCGCCGGACAATGGCATTGCCAATGACTGGGTTTCTCTCAGGCAACTGCACTCTCAGGCGGTGGCATGCACTCGTCGCGGCCACTCACCACTTGGGTGATGTCTTTCGTTTCGTCCTCCTCAAGCTCTGGGATTTCGTCAAACTGCATCAATCAGAGGGCCCGATAGGGATCAGCACAGCTCCAGCGAACGGACATCAACGCTGGCCCATTCGCTCGCCAGCGCCATCCCAGTGGATCCTCGGCGCGATATTTTCTCTGTGAGGGACACCGCTCTCGGTAACAGGAGGGCGGACCTGCTCATCTCTTTCGACTGCGTCATACTTGGACTGCTTCTCTTCCTCCTTTGTCACAGCACTACAAACGCGGAACAATCGCCGTCAGCGGACGCTTCCACGCAAAGGCGCTATTCGACAGTAGCTTTATGGTGCGTAAGCTCGTTGCACGGAGATAATGGTACCCCGCACGGAACAGGGCAAGGGGAATATTGTCAACGTCAAAACCTAAAGGAACAGCATCTGTGCCAAGCTTCTTCCTGATAAGTTCCAGCCTCCGGCAACTGGACCAAATGGCACACAGCGTTCGCAAATGTGTACACACGCTGAATAATATGGACAGCGCTTGGAAAGTTCCGGTAAAGCAAATTGTTGAACTTGAAGCGTATGCCGTGTGGCAGGTAGTAATCAAGTGCAGCGCTTGCGAGGATAGCTGATACTCAATGGAGTGGGATGTGGAAGGACAGCAGCGCTACGTCATCAACACGCACGTCTTCGTTGCCCACTTATGTACTGCCTTAGCAGAACATGCTGCTAATGTGTGACAGGATTGCAGTGATGGCCAGGAAGGCAAGCCGTCGATTGATGCAATTTTTCAAGCAGATACTCAATGATGCGAAGAGGAATCTTGTGTGGCTTTTTTCCTTTCAATGTATGTTTCACCTTCCTTTCTCCATCTGAGCCGCTTTCCTTCTGGATACTCCCTCCCATTTTCGGGATTTGCTGTTTGCCTCTACTGTTGGTGGGGACGCCGGAGCCTGGGCTTTGGCCTGGGCTCTTGATTCGTCGACACCAGCTCCCAAGGGTGTCTCCTGTTCGCCCATATCGAAAATTGTACGGTGTCAATATCTCAGCATCGCTGGCCAGGAGTATTTGATTGGAAAAGCCATGCTTCGCTGAAAGCTCTGCAGGCATAGCCGTTTCTGTTTGAAATTTATTTGGATTCAGGAATTTGCGTGGCACCGAGAATAGTTGATTAGGCGCACACAGAGGACTGAATCCCATGAATTTCGACGACTATCTGAACCCAGGAGATACCGTAGGATTTCAACGCCATATCTCTGGATGCAGTTCGGTATGCCGCTTCACAAAGCCAGTTTCTCAAAGTGTAGGCCAAATTAAATCTCTAAGAGTGTAATACGGTAATAATAACCATACGAACTGACATGAGGGAATCCCGTTGTTGTACGTTCAGCAACACATGCTAACTTCCTCTCGCACTTTTGCAACACATTTTTCAGGCAATCTTATAGCCACTTCTCTTGAACCGATGATTATTCTTCTTAAGATGGTGGTATTTCATGTGTGGTGTGAGGCACAGCAAGGATCTTGGAGCATTTCGTTGCTTGCATGTCTCGATTTTCCTGGTAAAGTCGGGAGAATCTCGGGTTTCGGCAAGTCCGGTGCACAACACTTTATGCACAAACCCACGTTCTCGCAAGATTATCGCTCTGCCCCGGGGTTCAGTGTCAAAAATTTTGGTGTTGGCGCGCTGCGCACTCCAAAGCTGGGATCACCTAGCTGTTGCGTTCCTACCTCGTCAACATTTGTTGGAATGCTGACCTTCAGCCCCCTTCCTATCGCACGCCTTCCCGCTTTAGCAACCTGCGTAAAGAGGACGCTACATTTAGGTTGTCTCTCCCTGCGAACAAGATAACGGATCTGAGCGTCCACAGGAAGACCGTTTCTGCCCTCGTTGGAGCTCTGGGCAGCCCAAAACCTGCATTACCGTATTTCGCATGAGCGCGTACATGCACGAATATATCGCCTTTGGGGGCATGTCTGAGCTTAGTCGGGCGCGTACTGCACCTGGGATCACCCGCAGCTGTGCTCAGCTGAGGCAAGTGTGAAGGGAACCAATTTAGACATATGCGGACAAACTCAACGGCTCCAGCCACGGAGCAACCCTTGGGTGATATTGCAGAGTTTGCGGCTTCCTTACCCGTAGCGGAGGAATCTCTTCACCCATGTCGCTCAGCGCCCGGGAAGATTGGGGTGGCCGTTCGTTTGAGAGCGCAAATGCCGCGAGAATAGTTTCCTGTTCAGCACCGGAAAGCCAAAACTGAACAGAGGAGCACAAGTACACATTTAACGCAGTACATTCAATCCTTCCGCATTTGGATATTTGGCTTCGCATTTTGGGTTTTTTTCTCTGCATTTTGCAAATGGGCGTCGATCCTCCTTTCGATCGGCATGGTGTCTGTGGGGCTCCACGGGAACAGGATGGTCGTTATTGGAGACATGCCAACAGCCTCACTTTTAGTCGCTTTGTTAGCGTAATTCTTCAGAGCTGGCGTCTAACACGGGCACGGAAGGTGACCGACTAGCCATTAGGCGCTGGCGGGCGCTGCCGAGATGGGAGGCAGTGCGATATATCGCAAGCCTTGTGCCCCTTTCCAGAGAATGCAAGGCCCTCCGCTCAAGCGCGCATTACCCCTAATCCTTGTTGCATTATCATGCGTTCGAGTTTCAAGACTCCAACGTACAGTTGGAACGTGTTTCTAAACGCTCCGAGAGTAGGCACGGCGCTGTCTAGTGGTATAACATATGGAAGGACTCACTTTCATAGAAGGAAAACCAATGGAAACTAACACAATGGCAGAATAATCAGTACAATGGCCCTTTTCTTTTGCACATCAGGCGCAGGCGGCCATA